AAAAAAAAAACTTACCAAATATTTTTAAATAAATACATAGACTAATGAATAATAAACGTGGCATGATAAACTCCGTGGTTACACAAGATTGGGTGGCATATTCCTTGTTATCCCGGTACAAACTGGCATGATAATAAATTGTTTTGTACGTATCGAAGTTGACATAATCCTATGATATGTTTTTCTTAATGAGATTGCGTGTACATCAACAGCTCATATTATAATATAGAGTCGTTCCATATCAGTCAGTCAGATTTGTTGCCGCGGGTCTTCACTCAGTACATTCAAAACTAATACAATTTTTTCTTGGTGTGGGACATAGTCTGGAAGCAATGGTAACGAGCATGCTTAACTCAATATAACTATTGCCGTTTAGTTTCAGTCGCTTACATAGGCCAAATGTATAATTTCGTATTTGGCCTAACTAACCAGTCGCCTGTCTAACCTCATGGGTTTTCTCCGGGCCCTCCGGGCCCTCCGGTTTCCTGCCACTGCTAAAGACCCCCTACGCTCAAGCGAATTATTGAAATAAAATTGAACCATATTTTAGTCCCGCCGAAATGACCTAGTTTGTGTCGGGTGGACGTTAAACCCCATTTTTCTCTCTCCCTAAGAAACGCCATTGTAGTAAACATTGAGCAGTTAATGCTCGTCATCACTGCTTCCGGCAATCAGAAGACATATGCCCCGCCCCTCCCCTAACCTAAACGACTATGATCAATAGAATTAAGATTAAAACAATAAATACTAATATTATTATATTTATTTAGCTGTGATTGGTAAATTGATTTTGTACAGTTGTCATCAGTCAATGTATTATGAGTAATGTGCCTAAAGACATCAATGTAACCGTTGTTTATTATAGATGTATACAAGGGCCAATCAGATTAAAATACACATCTATATTTCATTTTGTTTTTCTATACTTTCGATGGCCTACACTACATGAAGATCTGACCCGTTGTTTTCGGGGGTCGAGTCAGAGGTTCTACGAGCGGCTTTTGACGCTATAACGTCAGATATTGATTAACCAATCGCCATTGATGTTTCTAGTGTTGACGTTTCTAGGGTTTACCCACAGTTCCGTGTAGAGCACGTCAAGAACTCGAGGTAACTAACTGTTTCATTGGCTAATTCCTCACACCAAGTAGATCACCTGTTATATAACAACTCTTCCAGATCCTAATGTTGTGAAGACAAGTAAAACGAAATTTTGAACTATAAAAACAAAACGAAATAAGATCTGTGTTTTAATCAGATCGGGGTAAGGGGCTGTCGAAAGAATTTCAACGAATAAGACACGGATACCCACTTCCCTCCCCCTTACCACCCGCACACACACCCATCCGCACTCTGCCATCAGCGCCGACAGAGTCAGAAAATGTTGGCACATTTTCATTCATGATTCAAAATCAACCGACATTCAATCTGTCATTTTCTATCCTTTGTGTCGTTTTACCCTCATACCCAATTCCGTTGGTTATCAATTTGGCAACAAAATATTGAAATTTAGTAAAGTTCCCTAACTGACATATTAAATTAGTTCGAAGTGCAGTCTATCTTTCCTGGCGGCTGGTGGGGTGGTGGGGTAGTTCGGGGCCCAATCTATCTTTCCAGTCGGCTATAACTAATGTCGGGGGATTGGATGGCGGAATGGTTAGCGCGTGACATTGAGTCAAATGGATTTGTTTCGATTCCACGTTTGGTAGTGATAAGGAGTCGCCTGTCCAACCTCGTGGGTTTTCTCCGGGTCCTCCGGTTCCCTTCCACTGCTAAAAACCCCTACGCGCAAGTGAATTATTGAAATAAAAGTGAACCATATGTTAGTCCTAAAATGACCTAGTTTGTGTCGAGTGGACGTTAAACCCTGTTTCTGTCTCTATATATAATAATGTCGAGTTAAACCTCATTCCATTTCAAAATTATAGTTTCTTGATATTATCGATGCAAGGGAGACAAATAGTATTTACATTGCGGTTACCTGGAATTAAACTACTACTTTATTTCCATTAATCGTCAAAGGTATTTTCTTCTACCAAAGGAAATGAAATGAAATGAAATGAAATGGAGTTTAACGTCCTACTGTTCTGCTCCTAACCTGGGCTAATGAAGACGGGCATACGCCATACAGTGTGCTATGAGGGAAATTTTGCCCGGACAGCTGCACTACGGCCTACTCTTATATCGAATTCCAACTGTCAAGGGATCTTTTACGTGCACGCCAATGTGTACACGGGACCTCGGTTTTTCGTCCCATCCGAACGACTAGACAGCTTTCCTTGTCAGCCCCTCCGTCCTGCATCACTGACAAGGGAGAACCACGCCGGAAAATCTGGATGAACTTTCTCGGCCAATGCAGGGATCGAACACCCGACCTCCAGGCTAGTGAGCTAGCGTCTTACCCACTTAGCCACGTGATCCCCCTTCTACCAAAGGAGAATATAGATGGAAAATGTGTGACATTTTTTTTTAATTTAATCGTTTTCCTTCAAAGGATCTTAAAAGCAAGTTCAGATAGGGGTAACCGAGGTACGTGTTCAGGTTTGTGCACCCATGTGTGCATAGGCGTACGGGGAAATTTTTGACTGGGGGGCGGGGGCGGTGGTGGTTGGTGCCCAAAAAGTGTAGTTAGGTTCTTAGTATGTTACAGGACAATATTAAATTTGCTGTTAAATTGGACACATTCAAGAACACAATATTTTTTTATACAGCTGTGTGCCCAAATTTTCCCAGCATTTGGTGCCCAAAATGGGGGGGGGGGGGGGAGGCGGCCCCACCAGCCCTACCCCCCCCCCCCCCCAGCTCGTACGCCTATGAATGTGTGTGTGTGTGTGTATGTGTGTGTTTGATTTTAGGCGTTTATTTTGGCTTTTGATTTACTTGTTGTGTTTGCCTTAAAACATACCCCGCTTGACACTTGTATACCCACCAATGGATTAAAAGTGGATATCATATATATATATTTTTCCTCTCTATAATGAAGTTGACAGAGTTTAAATAATATGTCGTTCAAGCGACACTAAGAATGACACTATGTGGATTATGATTTTATAGAAATCGTGGATTAAAATCATTAATAATGAAAAATGTATATTATATTGGAAAACAGTTAGCATTTCTGATCAGCAGCCCTGCAAAGGACTGTTGTGTTGGTTGGTTTTAACTTTAGATGATTTTGAAAGAAGTGTGGACTAGTGTTACGGGACCTTCTTCATTATGGGAAGTGTTCCACCAACGCTACTAGCAGCTAGTGTGATGAACTCAGTATAAGAATACCTTCTGCCTAGCCGAACAAAGCACATTTAAATTTCAGAAATCAGACCTTTTTCGTTTTAAATAATATCTAAAATTTTGCCAACCCAGAAATAAACAATGACTAGCAGTTATTTGTGATGGGAACCACAGTGGCTCGCTAACCTGGAGGTCGGGTGTTCGATTCCTGCATTGGCCGAGAAAGTTCATTAGGATTTTCCGGCGTGGTTCCCCCCTCCGCCACCGTCAGTGGAAAATTCACCCAGATTTTCCGGCGTGGTTCCCCCTTGTCAGTGTATTTCAAGGGCAGCTGTCTAGTCATTCGGATGAGACGAAAACCCGAGGTCCCGTGTACACATTGGCGTGCACGTCAGCGATGGGATTTCAAAATTTTTCCTCTCGGACATTTTACCGAAATTAAAGGGGCGTAACTCTTATCGTTATTTAAGCTGACGTATTCATACCACAATTAAAAATCATGTGTCAACAAAATATTCAAATCCTGTAGTAATTAAAAATAGGTGAACCTCGTTATTTTTCATATTTAATTCCCGTGCGGTATTCAAATTTATGTCGGTGATATTCCTATAAAATTACGTGTTTTCGTAATATGATAGAATGAAAGCTTGCCGATCCGTACCTACTTGTAAAAGGACACCGTAAGCTTCATCGTAAGCATTGCCTTGTAAGCGATTTTCACACGGCAATCGAGATCGCGGCAAAGTTCCACTGTGGATGAGATATCACAAACAAAATGACTGGTCACTGCTTCGGCATCAAATTCACAACAGTAGGCCTAATATTTCTGCAAAATTACGTGTCTTCGTTTATACGGCAGCAAATGAATGCAGAACTTCCGGAATAAGAAGCGTTTTCTTCTTTATAAAATGTTACCAAAATATTCAAATCTATGCGTAATAAAAATGGGAACACCTCGCTATTTTTCATATTTAATTGTGGTATTCAAATTTATGTCAGTGATATTTCTATAAAATTACGTGTTTTCGTAATATTATAGAATGAAAGCTTGCCGATCCGTATCGGCTTGTAAAAAGACATAGCTTCCTGTAGCGTATGGCGTACGTGACTCACGGCACATTGCTTCATTTTAAGCGATTTTCGCGCGGCAATTGAGATCGCCACTGCAAATTGGAATTTCTATATGGAGTCTTAAAAGACTGTCCACTGAGACTAGTTATTACATACTGTCGGTTGGTACATGCTGTGATTAAAATGTAAAAGTCAATGTAGAAACCACAAGTTTAACACTTAGATTAAAATTATAATCACTCTTATTGGATTGATGAATAGTCCGACAAAGGGAAGCAATGGTGTAAAAGATCCCTTGCCGGTTGGAATTCGATATAAGAGTAGGCCGTAGTGCCGCTGGCCGGACAAAATTTCCCTCATAGCGCACTGTATGGCGTATGCCCATCTTCATTAGCCCAGTTCGGAGCAAAACAGTAGGACGTTAAACCCCATTTCAATTCATTTCATTGTCATTGGTGTAGGCCAGAGGGCCTGGCAAGGGACAACGGTATAGTCGTTCGGGTGGGACACATAAACGTGCAAGTAATAGATCCCTTGGCAGCTGGGAATCGATATTAGAGTAGGCCGCTGTCCGCTTAAAATTACCCTCAAATTACCAGTCGGAGCAAAGCAGTAGGACGTTAAACCCTCTTTTCATTTCGTGATAAGTGGTGCCATCCCTGAACCTTAAATTTGAGAGTTAGTTCCCTTTACAAAAATGGCGGCGTCCATGACCAAACGATGTGAACTGGGAATAAATCATCTTTATCGTCTTTTATCTTTACGAAATATCCACGTGCAATCGCCATTGTTTGTATCCTGGCCATTTTCAGACAAAACTGACAAAAATGAAGAAGAATTTCCGTCAGAAGAAGCTTTTGATGTCGCCGACGAAAGAAATGAAGTGTCAGAGGAAATGATTGACAAAATGAGAAACGTATCACGATTACCTGATGGTTTGAGGCGACGACTACCCCATGTAAACAAGATGACAGATTCGAATCATCCAAACTTTGACCAACTTTGGTTTAAGAGGAAACTGTATGCGAAGTATGGCCAAGAATCGGGTGTTGATGCTAGAATTATGTGGCCGACCAGATCCGAACTAAGAGAGAGAGTTGAAGAAGATGCAATTTTAGAACCATCTCTCCAAGAGAGATTGCAAAAAGCTGAAGAAGACAAAATTCAAATTGAAAATTATCTGAATCAAAGGTACTATATTTAAGTTTCATTGAGTGCTTTATAGTAGGCCTACTATATAAGATATTCCGACCAATTCAATGTGGATTTTGAAAAACAAACAAAAATGTCATAATATGTAGCGCTACCAGCACACATGCATTAGGCCTCTATTTTGCATACTCAAATAAATGAATTGGTTGAAAACCAAAATGGTTCATGTGTACATTAGGCTACAGCCTACTGTGGATAGACTGTGAGTTTAAGCTGTTGGAATCAGTAGGTAATATGCATGGTTTTAAATAGGCTTTATCACCATCAAAACTAAAATGAAAAAACTGTTTTCTTTTTAATATCATAATAAGAATGTTTACTTGTCCACAGTAATTAACAAAAAGCCAAAACCTTGCCTATATAGTAAGCCTATCTGTTGTCTATTAGATCCCTTATCAGTGGTGAATGACAGTGGGGCTAGCCAGTGACAATGTATAGTTGTTCGGATATGATGAAAAACTGAGGTCTCGTGTATACATTGAAGTGTACGTAAAAGACCCACATGGCTGTTGGAATTTGACATAAGAGTAGGCCGTAGTGCTGCTGTCTAAGCAAAATTTCACTCAAAGCACACTATGCCGTCTACATTAGGTCAGTCGGAGCAAAAAAGTTTAACATTAAACCCTATTGCATTTCATTTCTGTTTTCCATTACAGGCAAAAAAATATCAAAGCAAATATGGCAAAGATGCCGAAATGGATAGAAGAATATAAAGCTAGAGAAAGTAAGAAATTAGACACACAGAAAAAACAGCAAGATAAGAAACAAATACTTTTAGAACAGGCTCGTGAATATTTTGGTTATGCTATTGATCCTAGAGACCAAAAGTTTATTAGAATGTTAGAAGAAAAGGAAGAAGAAGAAAAGAAATTATTAAAAAAGAAGAAAAAAGAGAAAAGATTACAACTAAAAGAGATGTATAGTGTAACTGGAAAACAGTAAAAACAAAATATGCATCGATTATAGTGTGTTGTGGACTGTTTAGCTTGTATGAAATATCAAAATAACTACCATATTTGATTAGATCAGAAAAGTTGATTTACTTATTGAAAGCGATACATTTAAAGTCTCCGGTTGTTATTTGAGGGATTAAGGAATCCCTTTACAACAATATTGTGAAAGTTGTCTAGCGTTAATATTTTTGATATGGTTTTCTTGATTTATAATGTTAGAAATAATCTATTTCAGTACATTTTATCATAGATTCTACATTGGAAAATTTACTGTCTTTGTTTTGTATTCAATTTGGTATTTAGACTCCCACTGTAGTGTATGAGATTCTTAATATGACAAATTTGCTTTTCAATGCTTTAAAACATTGAGATGGTGACAGATTGACATCTGCTGACTACTAGTATTAAATTATAAATACCCTTTAAAGCTTCTGTTTAAACACCACTCTAAATTAAAGAATGCTATTCATGACATCACTGATTGAACCCAAGATGGCAGTTTTTTTGAAAGGAAAGAAACACAGCAAACAGTTAAAGTAGCTTGTCTTTGAAATAGATCAATCACCACCTTTAATGTAAAACCTAAATTAATTTTGACTCAAGAAAATCTGATAAGAATGCAAAAACAGATAAAATTCAGTCAAATGATCACTATGTTGACATTGATGATGTTTAACATGAACATTGATGATGTTTTACATGTAAATTTATGATGATGTTTATATGAACATTGATGATGTTTACATGGACATTTATGATGATGTTTATATGAATATTGATGATTTTTATATGAACATTAATGATGTTTGCATGGACATTTATGGTGATGTTAACATGACCATTGATGATGTTTACATGGACATTTATGGTGATGTTAACATGACCATTGATGATGTTAACATGACCATTGATGATGTTTACATGGACATTTATGGTGATGTTTACATGAACATTGATGATGTTTACATGGACATTTATGGTGATGTTTACATGAACATTGATGATGTTTACATGGACATTTATGGTGATGTTTACATGAACATTGATGATGTTTACATGGACATTGATGATGGTTACATGGACATTGATGATGGTTACATGAACTTTGATTATGTGTTTGCATGAGCATTGATGATGTCTACGTGAACATTGATGATGTTTACAAAAGAACGTGTAAGACTACTGTGGAATATGATTGTTGTAGAAACTGTGTATAAAAGTATAATTTTTATAAAAGTTTTGTTTTAAAGTGTAAGGGTTTCGATTCCCAGTTTCTACCTGGGAGTAGGGTCGCCTGTCAAACCGTGTGGGTTTCTCCAGGTCCTCCCACTGCTAAAGACCCCTACGTGCACACAAATTATTGAAATAAATTGAACTTTATGTTAGTCCCGAAATGACATAGTTTGTCCCATTTTTGTCTATCTCAATTAAAACTGGTTGTTCAGTATAAAGTAAATATTAATTAAGAAACCAATATTTTATAAATAAGTCCTAAATAACTATTAAGAACAGATTAGTTTACCACACATAATATGTAACCTAAATATTATGTAGTGACTGTGTGGTTCGAGAATCAATTTATTCTGATATGCGTGATTCGAGAATCAATTTATTCCGATGTATGTCGATATGTAGCCTATTTTGTTATGGATTTTTAACAACAACAAAAGGTATAAATACATATTTAAAACAAACAAAACAAAGGAACACGGTGGCGGCATATGGACACATCTTAATCATTTGATTTGAACTCATATTTCCCAACCTTGGACATCTTTCATCCAGATTTAAAAAAATATGTGGGAAAATGTGGTGGGTGTCAGACGGTTTGCCAGTTTTAGTCCCTTTATGCCTAGGCCCCACTGGGTAATTATCATCATCGGTAAACGTTCACAAAGCTTCTTGGAATATCCCCCGAACAATTGATGTGAATCATCAGGGATGGTTCCCTGTGTACCTTCGGTGATAATCATCACCATCGGGGGAATATCCCCGTAGATAAGGGGATGCATCCGGTTATAGGGTGACGGGGGGAGGGGGGGGGGTGGATGACCAAATGGTTAGCACGTGCACGCTGTATCATTAGGCCTGTCATTGAGTCAACTGGCTTGGTTTAGAATCCCCAGTTGTACTTGACAAGGAGCAGGGTCGCCTGTCCAACCTGGTGGGTTTTCTCCCGGTCCTCCGGTTTCCTCCCACTGCTAAAGACCCCTATGCGCAAGCGAGTTATTGAAATAAATTTTTTTAAAAAAACATGTTAGTCCCGAAATGACCTGGTTTGTGTCAAGTAGATGTTAAACTCTCTCTCTCTCTCTCTCTCTCTATGGTGGGTTTTCTCCCGGTCCTCCGGTTTCCTCCCACTGCTAAAGACCCCTATGCGCAAGCGAGTTATTGAAATAAATTTTTTTAAAAAAACATGTTAGTCCCGAAATGACCTGGTTTGTGTCAAGTAGATGTTAAACTCTCTCTCTCTCTCTCTCTCTCTATCTCTCTCTCTATCTCTCTCTCTCTCTCTCTCTCTCTTGGTGGCATATTGGCAGCACTTATGCCTCATTCCCACTGGGCATTTATTTCTCGGTGATGGAAATTGATGAGCCTCGGTAGACGTCGGGGACAGGTGTCCTGGGAAGCTTCGAGAGCATCGCGGGCCATACGGAGCCATTGGGAGGCCTTGGGGCAACTGCGAAAAATTTCAATGTTGCTTTGAAATTGTTTTTCTGATGTGTTCCCCACAGACCGGGAAAAAGACTGGGAAGGTATCCCAGAAGCTGTCCAGATCCACGGAGAAGGTATCCCAGAAGCTGTCCAGATCCACGGAGAAGCTCCGGGGATGTTTCCCTGGAGCTTCTGGGAAATATTTTCTCCCCGAAGCGACGACCATCACTCGCCGAGGTATCAGGGTACCGCCGATGGTATTTGAATCACAGGGTTGCATCCCCGAAAGTTCACCCACATTTAAAGGAGCTAAATCGCTTATATTTGCGACCTAGAAATTGACTTGATTGGGACTTGATTGGCGTCATTTGGGACTCAACCGTAACACAAACGACATTTGGGACTCAATACATGAAATTGATTTAAACATCCTTATCATATTATGACCCACAGATGGTTGACATTGGCACTGGCTTGACACGAACAACGGCCACGTGGAGGTCATTAGTTACTACTGCTGGCCTGTGTTATGCAATGTCCTTTGTCTTGTAAGCAATCTGTACTGAACGCTTAAAGGAGCTAAATCGCTAACATTTGGGACCTAGAAATTCACAAAAGTGGGTCGCAACGCATATAATACTGTAATATGAATGTATATAAACTGATTTACATTTAATGGTTTCCGTTTTTACTCCAATTTCAAATCAGTTATGTTCGGCGAAATAAGTCAGCAATCTCAATCGAGTGCAAATTTCTAGCGTCTAGTTATTCTAGTCTACATAACTCCATTTGATTTGGTGCAATGTGTCTAGCCTCGTCCCTCGAGTCTCTCAATACAACTGGGGCTGAAGCGCATTATGGTACACGATTTGTGTACCAATGTTAAAAAAATTATTTTATCTTAAATATCGGATATCAGAAGCTCATCTTTTCCCGGTAAGTTTACATCATCAATGTTGATTTAAATTGACCAATAATTCGTGTTTTCGATGTCGAAGATTTTGGAGGATTTTGAGTTACGGACTTAGGTCCTTTAATCCGGTATGATGTAATATAGCCAGCTGCATAATCCCTTCGATCATCCTTTGTCTAGAAAGGGATTATAAGCAGATACCTGAAGTGATAGAAAGCTGGTTAAGACCGAAGAGCAGCCATGGAAGTTTGTTGCTTGGGAGTTGGCACCCTCGGGTGCCAAGCCAAGCTAGGTCCATGGCTCCCTTGACACAAGCTAATTACGGAGTCTTTAATTATAAGAAGTTTTGTACTTGGTATGTGTGAAGAACAATAAAAGTATCATATGAAGTTAAACCAGTGCTGTCGTCCAGAACCTGATTCAACGAACCAATACTGTAACAATGTATATAAACTGACTTTACATTCAATCGTTTCCGTTTTTACTTTAATTTTAAATCGGTTATGTTCGGCGAAATATGCCAAGTATCTCGATCGAATGGCAATCTCTAGCGTCTAGTTATTCCAGTCTACACCGATCGTATTTATTGCGCATGCTCTCCAGATAAGAATATAGCCTCACCGTTTGACATGACTTGCGGAATATGTCTAGCCCCGTTCTTTGAGTCTCTTGTTACAAATAGCAGGATTCGTGTACCAATGGTAAAATGTTTTTGTCTTAAATATTGGATATCAGAAGCCCATCTTTTCCAGGTAAGATCACAACATCACCGTTGATTTAAATTGACAAATAATTTGTGTTTTCAATGTTGAAGAATTTGGATAATTTTGAGTTAGAGACTTGGCTATGAAAAACATCTTTCATGCGATTCAATTTTTTATTTATTTATCAACACCCGAAAAATGAAAAGGGGTTTAACGTCCTACTGTTCTGCTCCGAACTGGACTAATGAAGACGGGCAGACGCCATACAGTGTCCCATGAGGGAAATTTTGCCCAGACAGCAGCACTATGGCCTACCAACTCTGATATCGAATTCCAACTGTCAAGGGATCTTTTACGTGGAAAGCAATGTGTACACGAGACCTTGGTTTTTCGTCCCATCTGAGCGACTAGACAACTGTCCATTTTGTCAGTCCCTCCGTCCTGCATCACTGACAAGATGGAACCATGTCGGAAAATCAGGATGAACTTTCTCGGCCAATGCAGGGATGGAACACCCGACCTCCAGGCTAGCGAGCCAGCGTCTTACCCACTTAGCCACCGTGACCCCCTCGACACCCCGAAGAATAAAAAATCAAATTGGTGTGGCTTTAATAAGGTTTTAAAACATTGTGATGAACGTCTATGTGTGTGATACATATGGCAAAACTGTTTACTACATAGGCCACATATAAATCTTTTATAGTCTTAATGTGATCTCGATCCCTTTGATTTGGATCTAATCTGAAATTTATGGAGGCCATTCATGGATCTCTGGCAGAGATCTATTCTCAAAGTAAATTAAACACATGAGTTCTATGGAAAACATTTAATAACTGTTTTCGGGGCAAATAAAATGTTTTCGGCGTTAAGAAAAAAAGAAAAGACCAAAATGATACTAGAGTTCTAATCAAATGTATTCGGTGGTAACAAAAAAAAGAAGACCAAAATGATATTAGAGTTCTAAATGAAATATGTATTCGGTGGTAAGAAAAAATAAAAATAAAAAAAAAATTTCAGCGTGCCTTCCCTTTAAGATGTTTTCTGGGCAAGTATAATGTATTCGGTGGAAAGAAAAGATGACTCTAAAATTCAGCGTGCTTTCCCTTTAAGATATTTTCGGGGATAATGTATTCGGCGGTAAAAAGAAAAGAAAATGACACTTATGCTCAGCGTACTTTCCCTTTAAGATAAGACGGTTACATTTACCGTTACAAATAAAGACTGGTCGACTGAGACACGTGAAACTCATTGACGTTCAGCTACCTTGGTGATGCACGCTAAAGGTGATTAGATTAGGTCGTCATGCCTCGTTTCATACGATACCTTTACAACACTCGATGTTGAGCTGGATAATCGAGACGCACAATGGCCGCTAAATCTGAGCGATATTGAAATAGACCACAAAAAATGACAGTTACACTGTTCTGAGTTGGTAATAATATATTATAATGCATATGGAATACCTGGTGAATATATACTAAATCAGCCAATACATATACATGTACGGGGAATATAGCTGTATAATACACCGTTAGAATAATGATTTTTGTGATATACATGGTGAGTATTCTATTTATATCATGCGTCTTCCAGTACTTCAATACACATTGTGCAGTATTAGATTTAGACAACAATAATTAATAATAGAGAGAGAGAGATGTGGTTTAACGTCCACTCGACACGACACAAACTAGGTCATTTCAGGACTGACACATGGTTCAATCTTATTTCTAGGGGTCATTTAGCAGCCTAGTACATTGACCGGCTACTTTTGACTTCTAACCCTAACACTATATAACCCTAACCCTAAGTAGCCGGATCAACCTACTGCGCCCATTTAGCTACCAGAACATAGCTAAAAACAAACACATAGTTTCACCTGGCGAACTCACATTTGATATTTGAATTTCTGATGAAAAGGATTTAGAATGATTTGCAAATTATAGATCAACTTATCCCCAGCAACTTTCTTATTGGTGTCCAGAGTCTATCACTTATAATTATTCGGCAGTAGTCGATTGAAATAGGCATACAAAATATTTCACGTCAGCCTTTATTTAGCCTGACCACTTGACGTCATAACGTCAAAATGACGTCGACCGGTTAAGGGTTAAATAGGGGGATTTGGATGGCTGAATGGTAAGCGTACGCGCGCTGTATCATAAAGTCTGTCATTGAGTCGACTGGCGTGGTTTCGAATCCCTGGTTGTACGTGACAAGGAGTAGGGTCGCCTGTCCAACCTCGTGGGTTTTCTCCGGGTCTTCCGGTTTCCTCCCACTGCTAAAGACCCCTACGCGCATGCGAATTATTGAAATAAAATTAAACCATATGTTAGTCCCGAAATGACCTAGTTTGTGTCGAGTGGACGTTAAACCCCATTTCTCTCTCTCTCTCTCCAATTAAATATTTGTGTTTAAATTAATGAAGTGTCTTTTATCCGACTTGAAAATGCCATCAAAGTCCATTGTATACGCTACTTTTCGTTCAGAAAACCTTGATGATTTGTACCTATTTCAGGTAGGATTATATACTTAAACATACATTATGCAAGAGCTAAATCTGATTATTGCAAGTCTTTTTTTAGGCTTCAGATGTCATAGAAATTATAAATTACATGTAGATCTTTATTTACCACAACAAGCACAAAATCAACTCTGTAGACCCACGGATGGCTTGGATTTAAACAAGATTTCATTGATTGATTAAATTTTTAAATGGCGTCGTAAGCTGAGATTAACCGTTACGTTGTCGTCATACTCCCGGAAATTTTCGATCGAGGCCAAATGACAGAGTGTACGAAGCGAGGCCGCTGTTGAGCGAGGTCGCATGTCAGTCAATTTGATTGAAAGTTCAATATATACGGCCTTGATATTAGGTTTAGTTGTGGTTAAAATGAGAGTTTGGATGTTGGTATTATACGCTCTTTTGTCACTTGCGTATTATGGAAATTGATAAACATCGCAGCTAACATCACCCCAGTTGAATTGCAGCCCCACTGATTCACTGTTTCCTATTTGTCTGCTTCGGGAGTTACGTAGGCCTACCAGTTACAGTACAAGAGTACAGGCAGGCTAACAATAAGTCGGCTATAATTATGCCTCATTGATTTGGTCCATTTCTTTCAAACTTTCGCTTATTATCTATATATTAAAAGTCTTATTTTTAATTTGTAGTAAAAAAAAAAGTGATACGAATTGAATTGCAACCCCGTCTCATACCGAATAGGCTAACAGTACCACAGCCATTGAAAACATTACTTGATAATCAAGATTATGTAGGTGGAGTTAACGTCTGTCAATCAAACGATCGGCCATTCTCGGAGACGGTGAAGAGAGGGTTGACTCCTATTTCTAGTCAAAAATTACAATGGCGATAACTTTGTTCAGAATACAGTAATTTGACTGAAATTTTCAATATATTCTTCTTTCATATTCTATTTTTGAACTGTTATAGCAAGAATGGCCAGCCCTCTATTAAAATCTCCCATAATGTATCTTTAATTGTAGTTGGATGTGGCAGAAATCTTATAAATAACAATAATCAATCATTGTTTTTATAATAAATGTTGTTAAGTGCACTTAATGAAGCCTGATGTGTTTCACGCCGAGATTTGCCAGGTAAAACTATATAGCACCTGATCTCTTAATTTGGAAAACAATGAGGGTTGAGAGATGAGGTTTCTTATTTAGGGGCCATTAGGCTTGTTTAGCTGTGGGAGGAAATCGAAGGGCCCAGAGAAAACATGGGGAATCAAAACCATGCCACTTGTTAACTTTCGAACTCTAAAAGTCAATAAGATAACTCCACAAAACAGGTTGAAAATAAAACTATGAACATTTTGAAATTTGATAGGTTTTCTTTCTTATGCATTATAAACCTATAACGGTAAATCTCTTTGACCTTTGGGGTATATTCTATGATCAGAATAACTTGCGGTCTGAAAGTTGGGGGGCGGCTTTGAAAGTTTTTCTTTAAACCTGGAACAGGTGATTCTTCTGGGGTAGGTTTTTATTATCCATAAGAAAACATGATATAAGGTTTTTCTTACTGAAATTCTGGGATATTCTCATTTTACGTACATGTAAACATAGACGGTTTATAAGCAAGACAAAGTCCTCGACTTTGGTTATGCTGGGGAAGAAAGAATTCAGAAAAAACCCTCAGGTTATTTACTTCAGTCTTTCTTTCGCCAGCATAACCTCAGTCTCGTGCTTTATCCTACACATAATCAACAATCTCTGGATAACTATTTTTCACAAGATTTTGTAAAATGGAATACAAATGGAGGGATACTTCAGTAATATGCCACTGCTCGAAATCTTCAGAATTTTAAAAGTTTTACTTCTTTTAAGCCCCCATAAAACCTCATGGGTTTTCTCCGGGTCCTCCGGTTTCCTCCCACTGCTTAAGATCCCTACATGCAAGCGAGTTATTGAAATAAAATAGAATCATATGTTAGTCCCGATATGACCTGAATAAGTGTTTCCCCTTGGTGTAGGTAAGAATATGAAAATAAAATGAAATGGGGGTTAACATCCTACTGTTCTGCTCCGACTGGGCTAATGAAGATGGCATACGCTATGAGGGAATGTTTGCCCAGGCAGTGGCACTATTGCCTACTCCAACTGCCAAGGGATCTTTTATGTGCACACCAATGTATACACAGGGCCTCGGTTTTTCGAACGACTAGACAGCTGTCCTTGGCAGGCCCTCTGTTCTCAACCACTGTCTGTGTCAAGTCGTTCAGATTGTATAAAACAGTACGAGGTTCCATGTACACATTGGAAGAAGCCTTGACAGATGGAATTCAATATTTATTATAAGAGTTGGCCATAGTGCCACTGTCAGGTAAACGTTCCATCATAGCACACTGTACTATGACATATGCCCGTCTTCATTAGCCCAGTCGAAACAAAACACTAGGAAGTTAAACCCCATTTTATGTCTCTCGATAGTCTATGTTACACCTGTATAAAAGTTAACTAGGTAGCTGTGTAGTAGATTGCCAGACAGAGTTCAAGTTTTATTACACAAATATCTAATACATGTCAATGTAATGATTAATGTCAGAAGTGTACCTAGTGATTTTGGCACCCAGTATTGATCATGACCTTAAAGATGGTTTATGTAAGATTCAAATTAAAGATGGATTATGTAAGAATTAGATTAAAGATACATTATGTAAGATTTAAATAAAAGGTGGATTATGTAAGATTTAAATAAAAGATGGATTATGTAAGATTTAAATTAAAGGTGGATTATGTAAGATTTAAATTCAACATGGATTATGTAAGATTTAAATTAAAGACGGATTACGTAAGATTTAAATTAAAGATGGATTACGTAAGATTTAAATTAAAGATGGATTACATAAGATTTAAATTAAAGATGGATTACGTAAGATTTAAATTAAAGATACATTATGTAAGATTTAGATTAAAGATACATTACGGAAGATTTAAATTAATTCTAATTACTTTATTGATTATATTATGAAAATTTTATTCAAATTACTTTATTCTGAGCGTAGTTATGGCTGTTTGAAGATGTAGCGTAGATTTTTTTATTATCGTGGCAATACGAAGAATAACTAAAGATTCAAAAATGGTAACATTTCATTTTAGATATATTCAACATATAATTTACCTAAACAATTGCTTATATAAAATGAAATTATCTAACTCCTTACTGTGTGGCTTTTGTAATTCTATAATTTAAAATATAGATCATCTTTTCATTCAATACGAGTATTCTCAAATAGTATGGCAGAAACTACATGAAATATTAATCTATAATAATATATATATAAATCTCACTAGTATAATTAAACAATTAGGTATAATTATACATGAGAATTTAGAAAATGAAAAAGGATTAAATATTGTTAATTTACTTATATTGTTATCAAAATACTATATCTATTCATGTAAGATCAAAGAAAATGTTCCAAATGCCAGAAGTTATACTTCATACATCGAAACGTAAACTAAGATAATATACAACACAGAAGACGGACACAAAATCTTGAAAATTAAACTTGAAGTTAGTTAATATACAGAATTAATAATATTTGTTTATATACATGTAATGTACATTTCTTTATGTACCCTAAAGGTAATATGTATTTCTCAGTACTAGATTTAAGTTATCAATAGATCAAGTTTGATTTATATTTATGCATTATGAATTATGTATGTACATGTATGTATTCTATTTATGTATTTTATATCGTTTTTATTGGTGAATAATAAAAAAAAAAAAAATGGTACTTGACAATTGGGTCTTTTTACATATCCAATTTATCTTTAAATTTTTACAGCTTGTGGGTGTTTTAATCTGTTTAAATCTCAGCCATACGATGGTCAAGCGAATTGATTATAAGCTTGTCATGTGGATAAATGTCTAAATGATAGCTTATATAACATTTAAAACCAAAATAAAGACCTGCAATAGGCAGATTTATAGTTCTTAAAGATACATTATGTAAGATTTTGATAAAGAGCTAGCCATTCTTGTGCTATAATAGGTCGAAAATAGATAATGTAAAATGAATAATTTGAAAATTTCATTCAAATTACTCTATTGCAAGCAATGATATTAGCCTTTGAAGGTTTGACAAGACGTGTGCAATAATTTCAACCACTGTACTAGTTGTTCGAACCTAAGTCTCGCTCCTCCATTTTTAGCTTAAATCAAAATATGGATGAACTGTTCCAATCTATTTAATATCAGAGACATCCAATGCCATCGAGAGTTGATTATGGCCTGGATAAGTTAATTAATGTCTAATTAATAATTTAGAAAACATTTCAAGCCTAAAGAAAGACCTGCAATAGGCAGATATAGCTCTTGCATAATGTATGTTTAATTACCTAGAAAATATTTTGCTTTTAGCCTTGTTGTGACTGATATTTTAAGTCTCCCAATGATACCCATCTGGGAAAGACAGCTTATAAAACTGTACCCCTTCATCATGACCAGTGGCGTACTATTGAAATAAAATTAACCATATGTTATTCCCTAAATGACCTGTTTTTAGTTGAGTGCAAGTTAAACCCGTTTTTCTCACCCTTTCTTACGCACTAGAGCATAAAACTCACACAAAATTATTTCCATTCAAAAATATATAGTCATATTATTTTAATTATGATTCCAATAAAATCCATCAAATCTCTATACTTAACATTTCTACAAAATAGGAAATAGTTATAATATTGGAAAAATAACTGCTATGTCATAGTTATGTTCAATATACCTTTACATGTACATGTGGGTATTATTATAATCATTGTTTAACCCTTGTGTGGACACGTCACACGAAAAATATTGTCAGCAACAAGGGGTAATCTAACCCCCGGACATAAATTAGTTTTTGAATGCATAATTTTATTCAAATACGATCGAATTACAGCTTCATATAAAGACTGAATAATAATCAATCAGAGTAAAAAAAAATATTTGAGGTATTAACAGTGAGGATATCAATGATAAGGTATTTTTGAAATAATACAATATCTACAAATAACTTAATTCTCATTTGACCGGTTTGTAGAGTACCTAGATTTGCTTTCAGATCTACTAGATTACCAGAATGACCAACACAATATCATCAGTAACAAAGATTCCAAATACAAAGCTAGTACCGAGCGCATAACAGATTAGACACTTGTAACCAGCAGAATGTTTAAAAGAAAGGGGAGGGGAGTCCACAAGACCCCTTGTTACTGATAATGTATTACTTTTAGTCTCTTTTCAAATGATGAATGTTGCCACTGCCTCACTTCCATTCTACTTGTAGCATTATACTCGACATTAAGTAGCTGAAAATGTATAAAATACTCTCTAGACAATTATGAACAGTTCCTCACAAATGTTAAGGATATGGTCGTGGGGTCCCGAAATACCCCTTGTACAGAGCACACAAGGGGTAAAAATGTTTTATGATGAAGTAAAGCGACACTGCCGCAGAATCACAATAAATAGAGGCAAGCATTACTTCAGTAGAAGTAGAAAATGAAATGAAATGGAGTTTAACGTCGTACTATACCTCTCCGACTACATGTAGGTTATACAGTGCCATACAGTGCGCTATGAAGGAAAATTTGCCCAGAGGAATAGAAATTTGTCAAATGGACATTAAATCCCATTTCTCTCTCTCTCTCTCCTGCCCAGACAGCCGCACTACAGTCCACACTTATTTCGATTTCAGTCTGTTGAGGGTTCTTTTTGAGTACGCCAATGTAAGCGAATGCTTCCCTTAGTTTCTTCTTGTATAAACAAGTGGTTAGCCAGCACATTAAAAAGCAGATTTAGATTATTGCAAAAACCTATACAGGGGATCCAGAAATTTACAGTTGTCCATTTTGAATTGTTCTAGTGACAATTCATGAGTGGTCAAGGTGCAAAATACCCACAACAGGTGTTTTGGGAAGCCTTCACGTACCTCATTAATTTTTAAAAAATTGCACTGGAATGCTGTAGATGCAATTTCTGGCGTTTTCAGGCTCTGAACCCCCTAAATTGAGTCTAAGCAGGGGTGGTGATCCAGACCTACTGGCTCCCCTTAATATAACATATAGTAACTTAGCCCGAATAAGGAGGGGTGGAAGGGGCACCACTGACACCCCCTCTGGATTGGCTCCTACCAGTAATTTGATTTATTAAGCTACGAGTAAACATGCATTGTTTAAAATAACTGAAATATTTTAATAGATAAACTTATATGGTTACATGTTATTGTGACAGGTTTCAATAATACCATACTGATAAACATTCTAAAATCAATGAAAAGATAGCTAGAAGGTCTTTGTATTTACAAATTGTAACATACATGTATATCTGGTGCATTTAGTGTGTAATGTTAGAAAGTAGGTAACTTGAAATAGGAGACATGTATATTTGGTGCGTTTGGTGTGTTATGTTATGTTAAAGCGACAATTTCATATTTTCTAAGAAAGTCAAAACATAATTATTTCTATGTCTTTGGCTCAATAGGTTATCAACTCACTATTTTACGACCATGAGCATTATTTCTCACCCTTAAAAATCATTGACACAGGAAATAATAACACAATTACCTCCCTTGTTTTCCTTTTGCCTCCATGCATTAGCTACCTTCAAATGTTGGAATTTGAAGTTGAAAATGATATTTTTGCCAATTTCTCAGCTGGCAATAGTGAATGATAGGATTAATAGGATTATTCTTTAACAAGGTAGGACGGTTTATGGATACCATCTATTTTAAGGCTTTATTTTAATAAATTATAAAAAGGTAACTTAAAAATATGAAATTGTAGCTTTAATATAGATAACTTGAAATGAAATGATAGCTAGAAGGTCTGTGTATTTACAAATTTTAATATAGGATACATGTATATCTGGCGTGTTATGTTAGGTTAATATAGAAAAGCTTAGCTATAAATTTTAATATAGGATACATGTATATCTGGCATGTTATGTTAGGTAAATATAGAAAAGCTTAGTTATAAATTTAGTGTGTTATGTTAGGTCAATGTAGAGCCGAATATTTAGTGTGTTTTGTTATAAATTTAGTGTGTTATGTTAGGTCAATGTAGAGCCCCAATTTTGTGTGTTATCATAGGTTAATGTAGAAAAGGTTTAGTAACAAATTTTGTGTGTTTGGTTAATGTAGAAAACTTAGTGTGTTATGTTTCTTTAATATAGAAAACTTGAACAATAAATGTAGTGTGTTATGTTTGATGTGTTTGGCTAAGATAGAAAACTTTAGCTAAAAACTTAGTGTGTTATGTTAGATTATTATAGAAAAGTTTAGTTATGAATTTAGTGTTTTTTGTTAGGTTATTATAGAAAAGTTTAGTTATGAATTTAGTGTGTTTTATTAGGTTATTACATGTATACAGGTGTAGAAACGTTTAGCTATAAATTTAATGTGCTTTGTTAGTTGTTTAATGTAAAAAAAGCTTTAGCGGTAAATTTAATGTGTTTTATTAGATTAAAGATACATTATGGGAGATTAGATAAAGAGTTGGCAGTTTTCTCTTTAATAGTTAAAAACTAGATAATGTAAAGGGAATTTGCTGAAAATTTCATTCAAATTGATCCACTCTGAACCGAGAATTTAGCAGTTGAATTTTCGGCTTAGCCTCGATCACTATTACTAAAGTCGGTAAGATGATCATGATTAAATCATCAATGAGCGTTGAGCAGCAAATCGGATCCTAATCCAGTAAATATTGCCGGCTAACAATGACATCAAGAGTTGATTATGGTCTGGATAAGTTAATTAATGTCTAATTAATAATTTAGATAACGTTTCAGGCCTAAAGAAAGACCTGCAATAGGAAGATTTAGCTCTTGCATAATGCATGTTTAACATAAAAAAGTTTAGTCATAAAGTTTTAAATTTATTGTTGGGTCATTTGGCTTTACTTTCTCTCTACATGGGATTATCTTTGTTATTTATAATATAAAACAATAGCGTTTGCTTGATCTCCAAAGAGCTCTAGGCAAAATTTTGTAATTATGTAAATTGATATGGTTTGGCACAAACATGTTCTTGATCATTATATTCCATTAAAAGATTATAATTTTCATTGATTGATCCAGCTACTTAATAGGCTTGTATGATTATAAAAGTAAATTTGACTCCAGTGTACTTAGTGTGTAAGAATTCTACATTTATGCCAAAATAAGAGAGAGAGAGAGACAGAGAAAGAGACAGACAGACAGACCAGGTCATTTCAGGATAAACCTATGGTACAATTTAATTTCAACAAATCGCTTGTGGTTAGGGGTCTGAAGAACTTGGATAAAGCAGAGAACCCAGATTCTACTTCTTGCCAAAGGTACAAGCGGGAAATTAAAACCATGTCACTTGAATCAAGGACAGAGAGAGACAAACGAGGTCATATCGAGATTAACATATTATTCAGTAATTTGCTTGCTCTTTAGCAGTGGGAGGAAAACGGAGGACCGAGAGAAAACGAGTTTGGATAGGCAACCCTACTTCTTGTCAGGTACAACCGGGGAATGAATCAAGGACAGACCTTACAATATATAGTCCACATGCTAGAGTGGTTGACCACGTCTATCCCCCCTAAATAGGTCTGTCCAATGATCAAAATATGTGATAAAAAATTAAATATGTTTTACTTATTTATAACATTAATGTTTTTTTATTCTTTTTTGCAGGACAAGTCAACTTTCTGTTGGTCTTAGAGCACTGAAATCATGATCCATTTGCGAGTCTGGATAACAGAGACACCTGGCACCGCAATTAAATTACTTCCTGTGTGACATCATGAGATTTCACCATGTCTGTGGGGAAGCTGTTACAATTTCAGATGACAGTAGAACAGCAAAACGATCGGAACACTGTTTTAGCCATGGCATTGTCTTTTGTAACCAGCCAATCCAAATTAATGAAAAGATTTGCGTTGAATTGACATGTGTTTCTATGTGGAGTGGAGCTTTAAGACTTGGCGTGACATCTTGTGATCCAGCAGAACTGAATGCCAGTGATATTCCAAAATACGCATTTCCAGATTTAAGTAAAAAAGAAGGGTATTGGGTAGCACATTTGAATGAAAATGAGACATGTACAGGGACAAAAATAACAGCATACATTAATTCAAGCAGTCAGTTTCATATTTTTAGAAATAACAAACACTGCGGTGTATATATATCACAATTACCAACCAATCAGAATCTCTGGCTTTTCTATGATCTCTATGGAAACACCAATGGTATTAGGCTAGTGCCAGCAGGTTAGTTTTTTTTTATGACATTACCAAACAATGAAAATATAGCACCCAGAGTAAGTTTTGTCAAAGAAGGCAAAAGCTAAAACAAAAACAACTCTGACATATAGAGCATTTACAGGGGGCAATAACTTCGCAAATAATTGATATGCAACTAAATTTTGATATAATGTGCTGGATAACGATAAGAGGATACTTATCGAAACGTCGTGCTTGTGTATAATAAACCAGTGATTGTTGTCCCATATAACTGTATAGTTTTGTTAAATTTTGATAGGTTTCCTCCTTATGGCTAGATGAATATGTGCATCATGTTATGAAATAAAAACATCAAAAAGAGTTTGCCAGATTTTAGAAAAGGAGGCTGGCTATAAATAAGTCCACATAAATTTTATGTGCACTTTTTAATTTCAAATACGAGAATTGTGAACTGATGAGTGATGACATGTCTTTTTATTGTCCAATACATATTTACTTTTGGTGAATTATGCACATCATATTGGTTAATGCTGGGTATTGCCACTGAATTCACAATACGATATGTATTGCGATTCAGGTGCTGCTATACGATTGGTATCACGATTCCTAACCAGGTCAATATTTACCAAGAAAACAGCAGGATAAATGAATAATTGATATTTTCAGTCCTGCCGATGTCAAAGATATAAAACTGTTTTATATCACGATATTGATGTGGATCAAAATAAGGGGGGTGGGGGGCGGAGAAATGGACGAACCCTACAACCTGGAACATTTCATTACCAAACCAAAATAATAATTACGAACAGTTTACTGTACCAGTTTTATTTCGATGAAAGCTGTAACTAGGGATGTAATATGATATTGTAAAGATCAGTAACTGTGGCGAGACCCAAGGCAGTGGTTATATAGCCTACAGAACGGGATATTCATGTGGAAATAAACCTAGAAATCTGTCCTGGGGGGGGGGGGGCAGAGGCGTATTTTTTCCCTCCCCCCTTCTGATTTTATGGGCCACGCCCATGGTGACATGGATAATTAGAAGTGACAGGTTACTTACAGAAGCAAAATATAAAAACACTTCCGGTTTGCATGGGCGTCACACATGGGATAGGTCAAGGGGGGGGGGGGGGGTTAAGATTCTATCTCTATAAAACAATGTACAAATTAAAACACAAACACTTATGTTTACTTTTTGAAATCCATTTATAATACACAAAATGTACAAAATATCTATACAACTTTCTTGTAAATGTCAATGTGTAAATTGTATATAGTATTGTAGTTAACAAGGTGATTGTCAAATATGCATCCTCATAAACTAAAGTTATGTGATCAAATTTCATTTGGATCCTCCTCATAAAAATTCACCCACTAAACTCTCAATTGTCGTGTTATTCATAACTCAATTATAATTTTATATAATTTAATTTGCGGACCCCCCCACAAATGACACAATTTATATTTAATATTTAGTTCCTCGGAGGCCAACAGTATCTACATTGGCAGAATATTTGTGCCATGTACAGTTTTGGCTGCAACTTCTGACTAAAATTGCCCCCCCCCCCCACTGCAAATAAAAAATAATAGTAATAAAAACCATTATGAAAAAAATACATGTTTCGGACCTGGACCTTCGGTAATAAATCGCCATACATCGATTCAGCATCTCGCGATTCAATACACGAATCGTGTGAAGGTAAATCGCAATATATCAATTCAACAGTATATCGTGCCATCACTGATATTGGTAGACCGGTTCTTTTAATCGAATTGAATATATAGCCTTGATATTTTGATTTTGTTTTAATAATTGAGGGGGGTTGGATGGCCGAATAGTTATCACGTGCGCGCTTTATCATTAGGCCTGTCATTGAGTCAACTGGCATGGTTTCGAATCCCCGGTTGTACTTGTATGTGACAATGAGTAGGGTCGCCTGTCCAACCTTGTGGGTTTTCTCCGGGTCCTCCAGTTTCCTCCCACTGTTAAAGACACCTACATGAATTATTGAAATAAAATTAAACCATATGTTAGTCCCAAAATGACCTAGTTTGTGTCGAGTGGACGTTAAACCCTATTTCTTTCTCTCTCTTTAATAATTGAATGTATAATAATCAATCTGAGTAAATATTAACCTGGATTAAGCCCTGAAAACTTTGATATGTTCTGAAAAAATGCAAATCACGCACCAAAACATTGAAGGGATGTTGCCAGATAGTACCGATACATGTACATCTATTGCCATGGAGACGAAAGTATGAAAACTAGAGAATTCCCAACAGTTTTCATGGTTGTATGTCAATGTTTGTTTATGTGTTCACATATTAAACACCATCATTAACTTACATAAAAGTAAATCGGTGTGGCTTAAACAAGCAATCTCCATTAATAGATATAGATTTATTAATCCCAAGGGTTTTCGACCATGGATTGTTGGAGAGTAGCACTGTGCCTGGCCTTAGGGGATATGCAAACTGTGCCATAGGGTAAAAAATTAGGGGAATGTGGTGAAAATTTAATTTGTTGATGATTAACTTATTTTCTTTTTCAGTACGATCAGGGCTCGCGCTGTCGGTCGGCAAAGTCGCAATTTGCGATAAAAATATGAAAGTGGCGATTAAAATTTGATTTTGGCGATAATGTTTTGCGGTACTGGCGATTCTTTTTGAGAACTGGCGGAAAAAAATCTTAAAATTCTAATCGTATTTATCCTGGATTAACCATTAAAGATACATTATGGGAGATAAGATAAAGAGATGGCAGTTCTCGCTATAATAGTTAAAAACTAGATAGTGTAAAGGTAACTTGCTGAAAATATCAGTCAAATTGATCCACTATAAGCCGAGAAAGAAGCGGGTGAAATTTTTGCATAGTCTCGGTCATCATTACTAAAATCATTAATATAAACAGCATAGTCTCGATTATCCACTTTCTCTGATTTAATTATCTTTGGCCGTTAGCGGCATATAGGAATCTAATCCAGCCTACATCTAAGGCTAGCCTTGACATCGAGAGTTTATTATGGTCTGGATAAGTTAATAAATGTCTAATTGATAATTTAGATAACATTTCAGGCCTAAAGAAAGACTTGTAATAAGCAGATTTTGCTCTTGCATAATGCATGTTTAATTGATCGAGTGTCATCACATGGCGGAATACTATAAATTAATCAACTGGCTGATAATCCGGATTGCTTCAATGAGTAATACTAATCAGTTGTCATGGATTAATGATTAGTTAATTGATAATTGCCATGATGTATATAAAGTCATTATTTACTCCTAATGATTAATTCATGCGGTGATTATTTGATGTTTTGTTTCGTCTTTAAAAAAAGTGGTAATTACATGTAATCAAAATGGCCGACAGATCCTTTCGAAGAGAATTAAATATTTTGATAGTTGAACTGTGGCTTCATATACGGCATATATACAAGCATGCCGATCGGATATCATTATTTCAAATTATATCATCACCACTGGTGAAACGCAAGAGTTGAATAGCGACGATTCTGGAGCGAGAAATCATTTCGTCATTTGTATCATATTACCGTCGCCAAAATGCTCTAAAGGTGAACGACGGGTATAATTTATATCATTCTATAAGGGATTCAGATTCTGATACCTTTACGGTACCTGAAAATAACTATAGGCCTATTGTACACGCAAAAATTTATAGAAAATTGGCAATCCTTGAATGAGATCTGACATGTAAATACTGAAAATATATTGTGCAGTACGGTGTTCAAATTGACTAAAGTCACCAAAAAAAAAGGATCTTAAATCCAAAGTTGTTGTATATTGTATTGTATATATTGGTAATTATTTTAGAATATTAATAAGCCTAGCTGAGACATAAAATCGTTAGATGTTGTCTTTTTTGTCACACATTTTTGGCAGATAAAATTTCCAGTTGGCGGAAAAAAAATAAGACCATTTTTTTATATAAAAATTATCATCCATTTTGGCGGAAAAAAATTGAAAGGCAGTGTGAGCCCTGAGTACGTTAGAATCTTTACTAGTTCAGCTCTGAACGTAGGTCTCACCACTCGCCTTTCCTTTCGGCCATTGTCCTATTGAATCCTTGTCGAAAACGAATCCCCGACCCCCAGTCAATTTTACAGGGCAACTTTTTACCGCTAAACGTTCATGTGTCAGTCTCTGTGAATGCCTGAACAATGTAAAGGAACATTTTAGTGAGAAAATAAGGCCTTGCTTACCTTGCTAGAGTCCGTATGCGCAACACAACATGCTGTTAAAAATGTGTCCCCTTCTGCTAAACAGCTTGGCAGAAGCCATTGAAATCGAATTTACAAAATTTATTTTGTGTGTTTACTTTTGTAGAATATTATTAAATTGAAACACAATATTCTTAATTGAATATCCTCTTAAATAATAATTTGAATATTTAACAAGAGTACAAACTTGGTCATTTTGGGACTAACATATTGTTTAATTTATTTCAATAATTTGCTTGCAATTGGGGTCTTTAACAGTGGGAGGAAACCAGAGAACTCTGAGACTTGCACAAATAACCAATATGTCATGGGGTGGGACGTAAAGTATTCCTAATACTCTATAGAGAGTAGGGCAGTCAAGAGTATTTCTATGCGCTGAAGCAAAACACATGTGCAAGGACGTTAAGAACGAATTGGGGGCTCTGTGGCACAAATATCTGCCCTGCCAACGTAAAAATATTAAACAGATATTTAAGGGCCCCTGCTGGCTGCACCCCCTTCCTTGGGCTTAACAGTGCACATACATGTATAGCAATGGAATGACAAGGATAATCTCTTCTGCTGTATAATTTACCTGGTAGCGACAGTGGCTAAGTATAGCAATGGAATGACAAGGATAATCTCTTCTGCTGTATAATTTACCTGGTAGCGACAGTGGCTAAGTATAGCAATGGAATGGCAAGGATAATCTCTTCTGTATAATTTACCTGGTAGCAACAGTGGCTAAGTGGGTAAGACGCTGGCTCACTAGTCTGAAGGTCGCAGGCTCGCTCCTGATGGTCGAGAAAGTTTGTTGGGATTTTCTGGCGTGGTTTGCCTTGACAGTGGAGGGAGGGCCTGACAAGGACAGCTGCCTAGTTGTTCGGACGGGACGAAAAAGCGAGGTCCCATATTCCCTTGGCAGATCGAATACAGTATAAGTGTAGGCTGTAGTGCCGCTGTCCAGGTAAAATTTCTCTCATAGCACACTGTATGGCATATGCTGGTCTTCATTAGCCGAGTTGGAGCAGAAAAGTAGGACGTTAAACCCCATTTCATTTCATGTATAATTTGTCCATAGACCGATAATTATTCATCAGTGATGGAACATCTCTCGACAATTGTTTCACATGATTAAGAATTGATGGTATAAATAAATTGCTTTAAGATAATCATTTTATTACAGTTTGACTAGCTTAATTCACCATGTTTAAGTTGTTTTTCACGATGAAGCCTATCAATATTTAATTAATAAAATCAATAGAGCTTATATTACAATATACATGAAGATCTATAGTTATATGCCGTATATAGATATATTGTTGTCATGGTCAGCACCCTTTTCAACAGGGGGGTTGGACGGCTGAATGGTTAGCATGTGCGCGCTGTACCATAAAGTCTGTCATTGAGTCAACTGGCATGGTTTCGAATCCCCGGTTGTACATGGCAAGGAGTAGGCGTCGCCTGTCCAACCTCGTGGGTTTTCGCCGGGTCCTCCGGTTTCCTCCCACTGCTAAACCCCACTACGCGCAAGTGAATTATTGAAATAAAATTAAACCATGTGTTAGTCCCGAAATGACCTAGTTTGTGTCGAGTGGACATTAATCCCCATTTCTCTCTCTCTCTCTCCCTTTTCAACAATTTTGATGTTGAAAGAAAAATAATTTCAATTATTTATTTTTTTTTTTTGGCCTGAAGCCTTGCCATATATAGACATATTGTTGTTATGCCCAGCACCTACTCAATAATTAGATGATGTTGGAAATGACAGCCAAATGCAATACAAATCGATGAAGTAAATAAAATATGTCAATCTGTTGTCAATTACGTTTCCTTATATTTCTTCTCAGTATAATTAAAATACAGATCTATATTTTGTTAAGTTTTTTTTATATACGCCCACATTGAAATGCAATTAAATGAAATGGGGTTTAACCTCCTACTGTTCTGCTCCGACTGGGCTAATGAAGACGGGCATACGCAATACAGTGTGCTGTGAGGGCCTACTCTTATATCGAATTCAAACTGTCAAGGGATCTTTTACGTGCACGCCACATGACATCTAACTTATTTTTCTCATGCACTGCATTGACATGTGACATCTGACTTATTTCTTCTCATGCTACATTAAAATGCAGTGAGCAAGGTGCGGTCTTGATAACCACAACATGGCCTAGGTTAGATCCTAGTGATGGCCGAGAAGGTTCCTTGTCAGAGGTGTCGAAAGGAGGACCTTGCAAGGAATAAGAATTGCGAAGTAGACTTGGCCATAGCATGCTGTCTAGGGAAAATTTCCCTCATAGAACCCTCCATGGTGTATGACCATCCTCGTTAACCTGGTAGGTGCACAAAATTAGGACTTCATTTCACTTCATATCATTTCTAATCTCTAACTGCACACTGGGTTAACAAGACTAGATGTGTGGCAGTTCACATATTGATATTTTGATTGAATTAGATTCAATACAAACAATCCATCAATCGTGACATTTTAAAACAGTGCTTGTACAGTTTATTGACCTGTATAGACTACATGCACATGGCAATCTAGACTACGAACAAAGGATTTTTATTGCTTTTATCTTCCAGTAAATTAAAGCTTCAGTGTAAGCACTGTTTGCACGTACAATATTAAATAAATCATAAAAAAAGACCATGGATATTTAGATTTAGGTGGTTGATAAATAATTTGATTATATGTACACATGGTTAAAGGTGAAGACCAACGGTTTTCAACAAGGTTTCCATAAACTATAAATATATACTGATAATTAATCCCCTCTGTAGCACAAGCAAAAAAGTTTTTGTAAGCAAGAAATTAATTTTTATACACCCACATTGAAATGTGGTCGTATATTGTTGTCGCCCCCGATCGTCTGGCGTCCACAATTGCTTGTGGATGCTCTAGAGGCTAAAGTTAATATTCGATTGACTTTAAATTTATATACAGTGTTTAAGGCCATGAGACGAAGAAGCCTATTCATTTTCAGCGATTTCCGATAATTACTGCCAGAGTTATGACCCTTGATCACGTCAAAAAATCTTGTCGATGCTCTAGAGGCTAAAGTTAATATCCGATTGACTTTAAATTTATACACAGTGTTTAAGGTCATGAGACGGAGAATCCTATTGATTTTCAACGATTTCCGATTACTGACAAAGTTATGTCCCTTGATCACTTTGAAAAATCTTGTGACGCTTTAGAGGCTAAAGTTATCATTCGATTGACTTCAGATCAATACACAGAGTTTAAGATCTTGAGACGAACAAGTATATTGATTTTCAATGAATTTTTATGACTTGAACAGCTAAATCCATGATATTAAAAGTTTCCATACTAAACGTTAGCATAGGGCAGAATTTTATAAAAACCAAATGGTTATTTGATAATTACTTCATGAGTTGTTACTCTTAATCAGATTTTAGTGTATTATAAATGTTTCATTACCGAAAAAAATAAAATTATGCGACAACACTTGTTGAATGCCCAGACAATTTAGCTCCTGTGGGCGTATGTTTCATTGCCTGGCAACCTATCTTTATTAAAACCGGAAGTGACATAGTTGGTTCAACACGCTCAATGGGCTCTATAGTAAGCATACAGATTAGGCATAAGTTTATTGCTGTAGCCTATTGTGTTCACTCGTTGTCCTTGGGCCAAAAATATGATCAAATGGGCTGTTTATTAGGTTATTATAAACACAAATTTATGTATTTTTAACGTTTAGTACACAAAGCCGTCACGTAAATTCACTCATACTGAACAGTACGCTGTGCCACAATTCACGCCACATTACTAATTGTTTACATCACATGGTTTAATTGACAGCTTGCAAGTGACATGTATTTCATCTGCTTCCAAGTTTTTGTGCTTAATTTCTCGCTTACAAAAACTTTTTTGCTTGTGTTACAAAGGGGATTATTTATCAATATATATTTATGATTTATGGAAACCTTGTTGAAAGTCGTTGGTCTTCCCCTTTAACCTTGGATGTAGACCTAATTTCTGACTTCATTTAATTTGATCTGAAAATTATAGATTCAGTCTATTGTGTAAGCTGTAAATTAGACAAGTTATAACCTACATGTAGTCTATAACATAAATTTGACACTGTCTCCTATTGTTATACAAGTAGGCTTTCAATACACTGTATTGGTAATTTGAAGTACAGCTTAAAAAATACATGCACATAAATTTAATTTATTTTTGTTAATATAAGAGAATTATACAGGGGAACTGCAAGGCAAAACTTAAAGATACATTATGTAAGATTTAGATAAAGAGATAGCCATTCTTGCTATAATAGTTCGAAAATAGATAGCCTAATGTAAAAATGAATAATTTGAAAATTTCTTTCAAATTACTCTATTGCATGTGAATATATTATATTAGAATTTGAAGGTTTGACAAGACGTGTGCAATAATTTCAACCACCGTACTGGTTTTTTGAAGCTAAGTCTCGCTCCTCCATTTTTAGCTTAAATCAAAATATGGCTGAACTGTTCTAATCTATTTAATATCGGAGAAACCTGATGCCATCGAGAGTTGATTATGGCCTGGATAAGTTAATTAATGTCTAATTAATAATTTAGAAAACATTTCAGGCCTAAAGAAAGACCTGCAATAGGCAGATTTAGCTCTTGCATAATGTATGTTTAAGCAACTGTTACAAGATCATAGCATGACTGAATAACAGAACTTTGCCTCAGTGTTAATGAACGAATGGTTAGTGCATGCACGTTGTATCATAGGGTCTGTCATTGAGTCAACTGGCGTGGTTTCGATTCCTCGGTTGTACGTAACAAGGAGTAAGGTCACCTGTCCAACCTCATGAGTTTTCTCCGGGTTCTCTGGTTTCCTCCCACTGCTAAAGACCGCTATACACAAGCGAATTATTGAATTAAAATTTAACCATGTTAGTCCCGAAATGTCCTAGTTTGTGTCAAGTGGACGTTAAACCCCATTTCTCTCTCTCTCTCTGATTAGCCCAGTTGGTGCAGAAAAGTAGGACATCAGACCCAATTTCATTGCATTTCTGTGGGGCGCTGTGTTTTGGTCCCATTTGATTATTAGAACAGCATGTTAGTGAGCATGGTGACCAGCAAGACTGTCATCGATGCAAGTGTTGAGAGTTTAATCCCATTATTTTTCATTATGAGAATAAAGTTTGCTGAGCAATTGGGTTTTCTCTAGGTTCTTCAATTTAATCATTGATGCAATTTTTGAGAGTTCGATCTCAAGATTGTTCATGACAAAATAAAGTTTGCATGTCTAGCTGACCTTGTGGGTTTTCTCTAGGTTCTCCAATTTAATCATTGATGCAAATGTTAAAAATTCGATCCCAAGAATGTTCATGACAAGAACAACATTTGTATGTCTAGCTGACCTTGTCATTCTCCAATTTATTCCTACTGCTACAGAACTGGAAATAAAAATATATCATGTTACTCTTGACATTAAGTCCTATTGCTGATTACACTATTTTGCTTTAATACACTATTTTGCCTATAACGTTTTTTAGGACTTCGAATTCTGTCTTATGTTTTGGATTGTTCGTACTTGGTTTTATTTTATCTCTTTATCTTGGAATTCAATTCACAAGGTTAAGAACTGTTTCATTTGTATTTTCTTTATTTTACAGATGATGCTCCTAAAGAAATACAAGCGCGAGGACCAGATGCTGTTCGAGCCTATCATTCATCTTGTTCTACAGGAACACAACCCGTTTACAGATCACGGTTAATGCTAGTAGGAAAAGATCGTGTGGGCAAAACTAGTCTGAAACGAGCTCTGACTGGACTCAGGTTAGTATTGATGCCAATATTTTTTTTTGATTAATTAGAACGCGAACCCAATTTCATTTTATTTGGTATAAAGATTGTTTGAAAGGAAACAAAACATATGCACACAGACGCTAAGCCATCCAAGGGTTGTTGCAAAATTTTTTCGGTTGTTGATAGTGGAATCATTTACAAGACATTTTAAACTAATATGATGATGAATTTAGTTGTTCAGGTTAGCGGCACAAATAATAATGCAGTTTTCTATGATGGCAGTTTTTCCCTGACAGCAGAGTTTCTGCTACACTTTATCGAAAACTGTCAAGGATTCTTTTACGTGCACGCCTGTGTGTACACGGGACCTCGGTTTTTGGACCATTTAAAGGACTAGACGCTGTTACTCGCCAGACACTCCGTCATGCATCTCTGAAAAGGGGAGAGCGTTGCTGGAAAATCTCGAGGAACATCAGGATCAAACCTGGGATTTTTTGGTTAGTTACCCAGACCCGTACTCATTGAGCCACCTTGACTGCTATTTTTCCCTTGTTTTTAAAATAAATCTGGTAAAAACCGAAGAAGTGCTTCAAATGTGAAAATTGCGAAATATATTTGTTTTTCTATCACCTGTTTCTATAAATCCTTGGACAAAGATATAGATGACACCCGAATGCACAGTCCAGAAATCTGATATTATCGATGTTTTGAGCATTGAGATATTCTATCTGGGTATAATTATTCTTGATATTAGAAATCTGGTATTATCGATGTTTTGCGAGCATCTGATATTGTAGATGTTTTAAACATTGAGATATTCTATCTGAATATAAGAAATCTGATATTATCAATGTTGTGAGCATTGAGATGTTCTATCTGAGTATACAAAATCTGATATTATCGATGTTTTAAGCATTGTGATATTCTATCTGGATATAAGAAATCTGATATTATCGATGTTTTGAGCATTGTGATATTCCATCTGAGTATACAAAATCTGATATTATCGATGTTTTGAGCATTGTGATATTCCATCTGAGTATACAAAATCTGTTATTATCGATGTTTTGAGCATTAAGAAATCTGATACTATCAATGTTGTGAGCATTGAGATATTCTATCTGGGTATAAGACATATGATATTATCAATATTGTGAGCTTTGTGATATTCTATCTGGATATAAGAAATCTGATACTATCAATGTTGTGAGCATTGAGATATTCTATCTGGGTATAAGACATATGACATTATCAATATTGTGAGCTTTGTGATATTCTATCTGGATATAATAAATCTGATACTATCAATGTTGTGAGCATTGAGATATTCTATCTGGGTATAAGACATATGATATTATCAATATTGTGAGCTTTGTGATATTCTATCTGGATATAATAAATCTGATACCATCGATGTTGTGAGCGTTGAAATATTCTCTGGATATGAGAAAGGTGACTTATGTCTATGTCTTGTATTGATTATCAGGATTTCTTCATTAAAAACAACAAGAGAGAGAGAGAATTAACATTCCAAAACAGTTATTGATTTTAAACAGGGAACTAGACTCTGAGATCAATAACGTGTTTAAAGACTCTATGCAGCATTTTCATTTTGCTAAATTATCAAATTCTCATGGCTTAATCCGCGCTAAATATGTACTTAGGAAGATTATTTTACATTTATTGAGACATAAATTATGCAAGAGCTAAATCTGTCTATTGTAGGTCTTTCTTTAGGCCAGAAATGTTATCTAAATTATTAATTAGACATTAATTAACTTATCCAGACCATAATCAGCTCTCAATGGCATCGCTAACCTGCAATGTTTATTGGATTAGGTTCCAATTTCCTGTTCAACTTCCATTCATAATTTAATCATGAAATGGATAATTGAGACTATGTTTTTTTATTGTACTGACTTTAGTAATGTTGATTGAGACTAGGTCGAAAATTCAATCACAAAAATCTCGGTTCAAAGTGGATCAATTTGACTGAAATTTTCAGCAAAATTCCCTTTACACTATCCAGTTTTCATACGCCCACATTTTCATGTGGACATATATAGTCGTCGCCCCTGTCCGTCTGTCTGTCAATTGTTTGTGAACACTCTACAGGTCACAATTTTTATCCGATTTCAATGAAACTTAAAATATAGGTTTATCACCCTAAGATCGTGGTTCTTTTCGAAATTGGCATGTATCGGACAGTAACTTCATGGATAATGGCCCCTGATTGTACAAAAAATCATGTTTTTAGCTTGTGAACACTGTACGTACTAGGGACCGGGTATCATTCAGATTTGATGAAAAAAGGAAAGAAACTGAGCTTACCATCTATAACCTAATACACATATTCAGTTAAAAGATTGCCATGCAGAAAGTGGTAAATACCATCAAGATTCATCAAAAACCGCCCAGTTTGTGCCACACTTTTATTGGAAACAAACACCCGATAAATATTTTCGGGACAATGTATCTTTAATGTGATAATTTGTGATTATTTTCCAGTCATAATAAAGAAGAAAAGAGTACGAATGGAATAGATTTATCCGCTTCGTGTTCTTTCAACTTGAATAATAGATCGTCATGGAAACTAGCAATTAAAGGAGAAGACTTTCCACTTTTACCTGATGTGGATAAAAAAGATTTGGGAATTCTAGGTAGTGTTTAATATGAGTGTGTTTATACAAATATTAGAATGTAGACAGCAGATTGTCATTTAAACATACATTATGCAAGAGCTAAATCTGACTATTTGCAAGTCTTTTTTTAGGCCTGAAATGTTATCTAATTTATTAATTAGACATTAATTAACTTATCCAGACCATAATCAACCCTTGATGTATCGCTAGCCTATGATATTTACTGGATTAGGATCTGATTTGCTCCTCAACTTTCATTCATGATTAAATCATGAAATGGATAATCAAGATTAGTTTTTTATCGTACCGACTTTCGTAATGATGATTGAGGCTAGGCCGAAAACTCCCTCGCTAAATTCTTGGTTCAGAGTGGTTCAGTTTGACTGAAATTTTTTGGCAAATACCCTTTACGTTATCTAGATTTTACCTATTCTAGTTAGAACTGCCAGCTCTTTATCTAATCTCAAATAATGTATCTTTAATATTTGCAATCCAATAAAATCAACAATTCTATTTTTGTCTGAAATCAAAGAGCAAAGTGCCATTTAATAATACACTTCAATATAACATCTCAACAAGTACAAACTTAACCAATAATTGTACCAGCCAAGAAGGTCATGAATTGATTATTAATTGATTTGATGGTCCTGTGAGAGTACTTTAGAAGCTATTTGATCTTACACTTGTTATATATTATACATATACACTACACAGTTATATATTGTAGATGTACATGTATAATGAATTGGGATCCATGGTGGCCAAGTGGGCAAGACTCTGGCTCGCTAGCTTGGAGGTCACGTTTTCGATCCCTGCATTGGCCGAGAAAGTTCATCCAGATTTTCCAACATGGTTTCCCATGTCAGTGGTGACAGGACGGAGGGCCTGGCAAGGACAGATGTCTAGTATACATTGACGTGCACGTAAAAGATCCTTTGGCAGTTGGAATTCGATATAAGAGTAGGCCATAATGCCGCTGCCCTCATAGCACACTATATGGCATATGCCTGTTTTATTAGCCCAGTATAGGAGCAGAACAGTAGGATGTTAAACCCCATTTCATTTCATTTCATTTCACGTATCATGAATTAACAATTTTAGTTTATTTAAAGTTCAATGTTGGTGTCCACCAATGAATTGCTTAAACACATTCCAAATATAATTTTAACACCGACCCATAAGAAAGATTTGAAGAAATATTGGGCTGTGTGGAAAATGCTAGAGTCGATTTGTGGAATATCTGATCCACGGTATATTTGTGGAATATCTGATCCACGGTATATTTGTGGAATATCTGATCCACGGTATATTTTTGACACTGGTTAAGCATTATGATTATGATTATAATATTGAAAACCGTATTTAACTGAAATTTTCAATATATTCATATTTCATTATCTATTTTTTAAACTATCATAGCAAGAACAACCAGCTCTTTATTTAAATCTTACATCATGCATCTTTGAGAGATAAAGCCAATGTTGAGGAATGACGGACAGTCTAGTTGACATTTAGGTTGAAATTAAAACTAAAATTTGTAAACAATTCGACTTCAGCTTAATCTTTGAAAACAGAAATTTAATCCTAGCACTGTACAAAACAAAACATCAGATCAATCAAATACAATATCTAAATCTTTAATTGATGTTTTATGTAATAAATATCTTATCATTGTAAAGTTGATATCGTTGATTAAGCATCGTATAACTTATAAATGAATCTATACGACACTAATAGATCAAAGTCGTCAGTTTATATACATAATGTGTATTAGTTAGTTAAATTATTAGCAATCAGGCAGATGTCATTAACTAGGTGTTATGTCACAAAGGTGTTAATACTGTGACTATTGAATGATATACACCACTATTGTCCAGGTTTGTGTATTCAATAGTGATAGGTGTTATAAACAGTCATGCATTTATACCAGTAGTGACATCTTTTACAGCTACACATCTGCTAATTTTAGTGTAGCTGTACTGTATAATTTCTAATCACTTTCTATACATACTAAACATTAGTTTAGAATACTGACACTTATATGATTTATTGACAAAAATCGTCATTACTAAAAGGCCCATGTTCATTAGTCAACGGAATCAGCTTACCAGTGTATGTGATCTATTTTTTCAGGTGGCTATGATGGACTGGAGGAAGAATATCACCAAGCGTTAGCAAATAATATTGTAAAGGAACTACTCTTTGTACCGAAACGAAAACAATCTATCAACAAACCAATCAGAAGTTCTGTTTCATCCTCCACAGGGTCTATCAACAGGGTCAATAAACTGGTAGGATTCAACATTTGCAATTTGTTTTTCCGATTTCGTCATATGTTCCAATTTTGAATTGATGAGCATGCTGAATCAGATCATTGTTAACATGCGGACATCAATATCAGTTAGCTATCAAACCAGAAGGTGTGGGTCAAACAAGCTCCTTTGGACTTGCCCCATCTGGTTTCTCTTTGTCAGAGGTGCAGGATAGGGAGGCTTAGCAAGTAGAGAGAGAAAAATGAGTTTTATCGTCCACAAACTAACATATGGTTCAATTTTCTTTTATTAATTTGCTTGCTCATAGGGGTCTTTCACAGTGGAAGGAAACCAGAGGACCCAGAGAAAACCCACAAGGTTGGACAGTCGGCCCTACACCATGTCGTGTACAAGCAGGGGATCGAAACCACACCACATGACTCAATGACAGACCTTATAAAGCAACCTGCACTTGTTAACCATTCGGCCACCCCATCGCCCCATCGCCCCACCCACTCCCCACCCATTGTTTAGCAAGGAAAAAGTAGGATCCCTTGTATATCATTAGAAGCATGTTAAAGATTACTTTACAGTTGGAACATGAAGAAAAAAGTAGGCCAAAGCACAATTTCCTTTATAGAACCCTGCATGCTGTATGCTTGTCTTCATTATTCAGGTCGCTGCTGAAAAGTAAGATGTCAAACATGATTTTATTTCATTTCAATTCTATAAATTAGACAATATATATAGAAAGGCAATGAAAGTTAAAAATTAAATCGGGTGTCACCAATTCATGTTTGCCATAGATTATTACGTATTGTCTTTCAGGATGGTAGATTACCTCCCTTGTTGGAATCTTTACCAAAAATCACAGATATAAAACAGATACCTCCAGATTTATTCAACGATGTCCCAGAACGTGTTGTGCAACTCGTTCAAAAGCAACTGGAAAATCCTACTGCTGATAAGCCTCTGTCATCTAGTCATACTTCTGTATCTAAGAATAATACTGTAGTTTTAAATATCTGGGATTTTGCTGGTCAAGCTGTTTATTATACTACACATCAGGTAGGAATTTACAGTACAACCACATTCTGTATAATTCTTCAACAGAGAATCGTCCAATCTGATTAAAATAAGATCTATATTTCATTTCGTTTTTATACGCTCACATTTTCATGTGGACGTATTATGCCGTCGCCCCTGTCCGTCCGGACGTCCGTCCGTCCACAATTGTTTGTGGACTCTCTACAGGTCACAATTCTTATCCGATTTTGACGAAACTTGAAATATAGGTTTATCCCCAAAAGATCTCGGCTGCTTTCGATATTGGCATGTATCGGATCGAAACTTCATGGATTATGGCCCCTGATTGTACGAAAAATCACGTTTTTAGCTTGTGGACCCTATAGAGGTCACAATTTTTATCCGATTTTTTTAAAACTTGAAATGTAAGTTTATAACCCAAAGATCTCAGTTCCTTTTGATATTCGCGCATATCGGACCGTAACTTCCTGAATTATGGCCCCTGATTGTACGAAAAATCACGTTTTTAGCTTGTGGACCCTATAGAGGTCATAATTTTTATCCGATTTAAAAAACCGTATTATTATATCACCGTTACACCCTAAGGAAGGTTGAGTTCGAATTTCGTGAAAATCGGCCCAAAATTGGCAGACAAAATGGCCGCTGTTCGTTCTCAAATAGCGTAAGAATATGGTATATCAAGGTTGTGGACCCTAAAGAGGTCACAATTTTTATCCGATTTTGGTTTTATAACCCAAAGATCTCGGATCCTTTCGATATTCACGCATATCGGACCGTAACTGCCTGAATTATGGCCCCTGATTGTATAAAAAATCGAGTGTTTAGCTTGTGGACCCTAAAGAGGTCATAATTTTTATCCGATTTAAAAAAAACGTATTGTTATATCACCGTTACACCCTAAGGACAACTGAGTTCGAATTTCGTGAAAATCGGCCCAAAATTGACAGACGAAATGGCTGCCGTTCGTTCTCAAATAGCGTAAAAATATGGTATATCAAGGTTTTGGACCCTATAGAGGTTACAATTTTTATCCGATTTTGTTGAAACTTGAAATGTAAGTTTATAACACAAAGATCTCAGTTCCTTTCGATATTTGCGCATATCGAATTGTAATTTCCTGAATTATGGCCCTTGATTGTAGGAAAAATCACTTTCTTGTTAGCTTGTTCTCTATTCATCTCCCGAAAATGTGGGCGTATCCTGCCTGGCAGCCGCTGGTTTTATACTTTCAATGACCTACACTACATGAAGATCTGACCAGTTGCACTTAGAGGTCACGTCAGGGGTCATACGAGCAGCTTTTTACCCTATGACGTCAAACATGGGTTAATCAATCAGCGTTGATGTTTTTAGGGGTTTACCCACAGTTCTGTCTAGAGCACTCCAAGAACTCGCCATAACAGAAAGTTTCATTGACTAATTCCTAACATCAACTAGAATGCCTGTTATATAACAACTCTTCCAAGTTCCTAGTGTTGTGAAGACAAGTAAAACAAAATTTTGAACTATAATAAATGAAACGAAATAGGATCTGTGTTTTAATCAGATAGAGAATCATCATATGATCTGCATAAATTGGTCCCCCGATCTGTAGAGAATGGTCCTACGATCTGCAGTGAATCATCCGATGAGCTGCAGTAATTGATCTGTAGTCAATCATCTGATAATTTGCATTGAACAGTATATATTGATCTGCAGTGAATCATTCAATTTTTTTGGCAGTGAATCGTCCGATGATCATGTGCTGTGAATCTTCCTACGATCTGCAGTGATGATCATGTGCTGTGAATCTTCCTACGATTTGCAGTGATGATCATCAGCTGTGAATCTTCCTACGATCTGCAGCGATGATCATCTGCTGTTAATCTTCCTACAATCTGCAGTGATGATCATCTGCTGTGAATCTTCCTATGATCTGCAGTGATGATCATCAGCTGTGAATCTTCCTACAATCTGCAGTGATGATCATGTGCTGTGAATATTCCTATGATCTGCAGTGATGATCATGTGCTGTGAATCTTCCTACGATCTGCAGTGATGATCATCTGCAGTTAATTCCCCTACGATCTGCAGTGATGATCATCTGCTGTGAATCTTCCTTCGATCCGTACACATGTAGTTGTTGAATTATTCCTTGCATTCATGTCCTAAACATGTTTCTATTCTTATGGAAAACTTGCTGAAATTTACAAACTAGGTCTGTGTATCTACATTTAAAAGTAAGTGTAGGGGGACTGAACCACACATAATTACATTTAAGTAATTGGAGCTTCATTTGCAACAATAACTTCTATATTCCAGTCAGATTAAAATACAGATCCTATTTTTTTTTGTTTCATTCAAGATTTCGTTTTACTTGTCTTTACTACACTAGGATCTGGAAGAGTTGTTATATAACAGGCTTTCTACTTGATGCGAGGAATTAGCCAATGGAACGGTCTCTTACGGCGAGTTCTTGGCCATTTTATGCACGGAACTGTGGGTAAACCACTAGAAACGACAACGCTGATTGATTTATCAATATCTGATGTCATGGGTCAAAAGCTGCTCGTTTGACCCCTGACGTGAACTCCCATTATAACTTTTCGTGTAGTGTAGGCCATCGAAAGTATAAAAAAACAAAACGAAATATAGATCTGTATTTGAATCAGATTTTTTATATTTAGAATATGTATTCTAGTTTGTTTTATAGCAGGTAAATGTATATATTTTGTTGATTTTGATAAATCAGAGTAATAGCATAACATTGAATCTTTATAATTATTACAGGTGTTTCTCACATCAAGGGCTGTGTATGTCATTGTTTTTAATTTATGTGATGACCTGACAGGTAAACAGAAAGAGAAACAAGAAAAGGTAGGAAAATTGTTTAATTCCAGTTTTTAGGTGTAATAATGACATTGTCTCCACAATTTATAATGTGAAGGGGTTAGGCTACCCGAAAAATGCTTTCTGAAATTCTAAAGCTATTGAATTGAAGATGGGACAAGTAGTTAGGAAATGTAATAAACAAGGGAAAACTAACATTAGGAATAAAAAAAAAAGTTGTTGCCAGGGTAACACATTTTGTTGGAAAAAGTCTGAAAAACGTAGGTACACAATATCTCTGTCACTAATAAAGATAAATGTCTCATTTTCGGACTGCTTATTCTTTAATGATAACCCCAAAACCAGACAGAGAGTTTTTCTTTATAATTTTTATAGTTTCTTGGAAAATGGTGATTAAAACATTTGCCTCACCACAATATTTTGTCAAATTGCTTTCTGTCTGATTCTGTGGTAGATATTAGTTTATATATCCTGCAAATTTGTCGAAGATATCTTAATTAGTTACAAACATGTAGTGTACCTACGTTTTTTCATAATTTTTTCCCAAAAAATGAGTTACCCTAGCGCAAGTCTTAAAATGTTAGACCAACCTTTTCGGCCAAAGATGCTCATTAGTTGTGAATATGAGGTGACTGGTTAGGGTTAGGGTTAGAGTTTTAATGTCGTATGTTGTTGAAACTTTCAATACTTATTTTATGTTGGGTACAGATTAAACCATATTTTCTTCCTTCTTGCTTTACTTTTTTCTCATGTTCTGTTCATTAGATGTCAATAGAAGCTGATTGGTTACAGTTAGGGTTAGAGTTTTAAAATAAATTCTTTGGCCGAACTGTCGTACATTATTGACACTTTCAATACTTATACATTTTATTAAACCATATTTTTTTCCTGTTTGTTTTCGTTTCTTCTCATTTGCTATGCTTTGTCTGTCTTAAAATGCCAAGTGCCATAGATTAAAACATATGAAGGAACAAACTGAGAAATTTACTATTTTGCCAGGTTGAGGAAAGTGAAGAGTTATCTACCTTAGAATATATGGATTTTTGGATGAGATCTATCCATGCACATGCTGCTGAGAACACATTTAATAGTGTTGATAATACCAGGTTGTCTCCCCCTATATTTATTGTTGGTACACATCGAAACAGTCTGGATACTGACTTTGATACACAAAAACTTCTGGTAAGTTAATGGCACAATTAAACCATATCAACGTTTTGCACCCATCATAATAAAGTCTTGTAGTTTTGATAGAGTGGTACACCTCTTGACTATTATTGTTGATATTCTATAATTACGCTATCGGCCGCAATTTGAAATAAAAGATAAAAGTGACAATAAAAATTTGTTTTGGGGTAGGTCTACTTGCGATTCTTTCTGAGAAGTGTCTGAGAAAAAATGTTAAACTTCTGACAAGGAAAGTATGCGTACATGTAGTTATTCGGATGTAATGAAAAGTTGTTTAAATTGAAACGCAGCTGTCCAGGCAAATTTACCCCACATCTCGCGTTGTACAAATAGCCATTGAATTGAACAAATGCTAGTCTCCAAATAACTGAAGTATTGTGTTGGTTTGAGATTAAACCCCATTTTATTGCACTCTTTGGTTTATAATATGCAGCCACGATGGCTCAGTGAGTAAGACTTTGGCTCGGTAACCTAGAGGTTCGGTCCTGATGTTGCCTGAGAAAGTCCATCAGGATTTTGGGCATGTTTCCCCCTTGTCAGTAGTGGTGCACAATAGTGGGCCTGACAGGGACAACATAGTCGTTTGGATGGTACGAAAATGGGAAGGCCTACACATTGACATGCACGTAAAAGAACCCTTGGCAGTTGGAATGTGATACAAGAGTAGGCCGCAGCGCCGCTGTCTGGCAAAAATTCTCTTCATAGCACACTGTCTTTATTAGCAGAACAGTAGGATGTTAAACATAATAATAATAATAATAATCGTTTTCTATAGCGCTTAACATTCAGTCAGTCTGACTGCTCTGTGGCGCTTTAAAATATATCCAAATCCTTGTTCACAACAATAATTAGTAAAAACACAGAGTAACATAAAACATGGGCTGCCCTCAGACGCCCTAAACACTATACATTTCATTTCATTTTCTTTGTTTATATTACAGGTGGAAGAGAAGTTTAACACAGTAAGACAATATATAACTGGTAAACCCTATACACAACATGTTGTTACACCTTTCTTCGCTGTAGAAAATGACCTCAGTTCTTACGATCAAGATCAACAGGTGTGACTTCTTCTTTATATCAGTTAGAACTGTGGGTTTAGGAGGTGCTGATGGGGCTTCAACCTACAGATTAATTTAGCAAATACCTAATATATATACCTAATCCCACTAAACACTGCTTTAACGAAAGCAAATTTCTGTTCCAAATTATGACTGGTCAATGGTCCCATTAACACCCAATACCTAACTGCGTTACAAAAGCATTACGCTTAAAACAGAGCTCCAAATTGGACCAAATATGTTTACATAACGTTACGTCATGACTCCCTATTTTATTATGCCCAATTAACCAGTGCATAGCAGAATATTGCAGAAAACCTAATTGCGTGACAAACAAGGCTATCAAATCGAAAACAATGTAAACAATACTGTTTGGAGTCGAACATACTTTCACCGTTTTTAATACCTTAAATCATTGTCCAAAGTTTTAGGGGAAGACCCAGATTAAATGAAGGGCTGTCATGTTGCTGTATTTGGGATAGATTTGATTGCACGGGAGGAAAAGACACACTCCCTCAGAAGCCAATCAGAAGCCAATCCAGCAATGGCCAGAGAGGGATTTCACGGGCCATTGCTTCAGGAATATGACCATTCTGATAACTCCTAAAGTAGGAATTCCATTCCAATCGGACTATTACTTCTTTATATCAGTCAGAACTGTGGTTTGGGGAGGTAAGAGGTGCCGATTGGGCTTCAACCCCCACAATAATTAGTCAATTGAAAATTTACGAAGCGGTCAGCTTATTATTTTTAAAATTTCTGACTACTTTCGCTGTGGAAAATGACTTCAATCAACAGGCTTGATTTTTTGTCCTCTTTTATTTATTTTATTTTATTTAAACTGCAAAGACATTAAAAGAATTACTGGTGAGATTGTGAGAACTAATTATGATTATGTGTACAGGTTGCCCGATTATAATAGTCAATCGGGAGCCACAGTAGCTAAGTGAGTAAGACTCTTGCCCTCTAGCCTAAAGGTCACAGGTTCGCTCCCGGTGTTGGCCGAGAAAGTTCATCTGAATTTTCTGTTATGGTTTCCTCTTGTCAGTGGTGCAGTATAGAGGACCTGACAATTACAGCTGTCTAGTCATTTGGATGAGATAAAAAAAACAAGGTTCTGTGTACACATTGGTGTGCACATAAAAGATCTCATGGCAGTTGGAATTCGATATAAGAGTAGGCCACTGTTCTGGCAAAATTTCGTTCCTAGCTCACTGTATAACATAATTATGTCAATCATCATGCCAGTCGGAGCAGAAAAGTAGGATGTTAAACCCCATTTCATTTTATGTAGTAGTTGATCATTTCATGATTTCTATTTATAGATTGATCTGTTAAGAAGTGAGATAGAGAAGATAGCTGGTCGTGAATCCTACATGGGTGAACAAATGCCAATCAAATGGTTGAAATTTGAACAAGAAATAACCAGATTAGCAGATGAAGGAACTCATTATGCTACCTTTGATCAGGTGATTGATATATTATCTTGATTACATATGAAGAGTCCAGGGGATGACGATTGAAGTCACATTTTTGTCTTTTCGCTTAAAAGGCAAAACAGACTTTTGGACGAGAATGCTTGTTGCGAACGAGTGGGTTTAATTACAACTGCAAAATGATGTTTAATACGAATCATAATTACCAGTACAACAACTGACTTCCACTTTTCAGCCAAATAAATACGATGGACTTGTATTTGTCCGGGAGGCCATTTCAGAAGGGCCTTGGTTCGATGTGACTCCGATCGTTTTTACCTGAAATTGATTGTTCCACATCAAGCTTATACAATTTGCTACCAGATGGCGCCATTAACTGGGGTTCGTTGAAAAAGTGAATTAAATCGTTCTTCCCCAGGGCTCTTCATATGAAATTACATATAAGTGGTGAGTAGCCGCATCCAGATATCTCTCATAAAGCTACTAGTTTAGTTAGTTCTTATGTGAATTCATCAGGCTTAAGTGATCGAGATTGTGCAGATGTTCCCTTTATATAGTCATTGGCCAGAGCACAGTAGAAGTCTTGTGGTGGATCAGAGCAATTCTGTTTCACTGGAGTCAATGCTTCCTAAATTTAATTTAATTCCTAGGGGATCAATGGACCATCTGATCTTTAAAGTGTTCTATTTGATTCTTTACATTGAGATTACTGTTAAATATGTAAGACATCTTTACAGAATATTATTTAACCCACTCAAGAAATTGTTTGATTTTCTATAATTCATTCTTTGTTTGTTCTTAATTTGTGTGGTACTTATTCTTACTTCATTTATTTACATTCAACTCATCTTTTGTTTTGGATCCACTCATGGTTCATTTCTAATTAACTCATGGTTTGTTTTGCTTAATTTATTGTTTGTTTTTATTTTATTTTTTTTAACTCATTGTTTGTTTCTATTAACTGGTCATTTGTGTCTATTTAACTCATATTTTATTCCCTAATATTATTATCTTTCTATTTAACCCATTGTTTGTTTTGATTTAACTCATTGTCCATTTCAATTTAACTTATTGTCCATTTCTATTTTACTCATTGTCCATTTCTATTCAACCTTCCACCTTTATCTTTTTAACTCATGGTTTATTTTTATTTTTCTTGTCATATTACATGCGTTTATGTTTCTATTTAACTCATTATTTGTTTTGATTTCACTCATTGTTCATTTCTATTTAACTTATCATTTGTTTCTATTTAACTCTTCACCTTTATCTTTTTAACTCATCATCTGTTTCTGTTGACACTAGGTCCGTGAGATTGCTGCTAATAGTGGAATTATATCAGATGAAGAGATTCAGACCTTGTTAGAGTTCTATCATGATCTTGGAGTTATTATTTATTATGGATCGTCCAGTTTGGTGGAAAATGTTTTACGTAATACGGTGATACTCAATCCACAATGGTTGATTGACATGTTCCGTAGATTTATTGTATCCAGATCGTCACAGGACCAGGTACTCTTCCACGTTTCATATTTTTGATGACTCAGTACACTTTATCTATTAATTTTTAGGAGCCGTGGTGGCTAAGTGGGTAAGATGCTGGCCCGCTAGCCTGGAGGTCGCGTGTTCGATCCCTGCATTGGTCAAGAAAATTCATTGGGATTTTCCGATGTGGTTTCCCCAAGTAAATGGTGCAGGAAGGAGGGCCTGACAAGGACAGCTGCCTAGATAGGATGAAAAACCGAGGTCGTGTATATACATTGGCATGCACGTAAAAGATCCCTTGCCAATTGGAATTCGATATAAGAGTAGGCCATAGTGCCGCTACCCGAGCAAAATTTCCCTCAGAGCACACTGTATGGTGTACACTTGTCTTCATAAGCCCAGTTGGAGCAGAACAGTAGGACAGTAAACCCCTTTTATTTCATGTTATTAATTGTTAGCGTTTTCCCAAAGTCTATCCAGATCACGGTAGTGTACAGCTCAGTGGACATTTACGACTGGGTCCCGGATCCATTCAGGTTTGTCTTATTGGTCCTCTTGCACTTACTATTATTATCTACTACTGTGGCCATTAGACAGCCAGAGACAAGTAGTAGGGTCACAGATTTACTTGAGTGGGTAGTTTGGGCGATCTAATTAAATAAGATTACAATTTTTTATCGTTGTTTTTTATACGCCCACATAGAAATGTTGACATATATTGCCATCGCCCCCATCCGTCCGTCGGTCCCTCCATCGTCCACAATTTCTTGTGAACGCTCTAACACCACAAGTTATCATCCAGTTGTTTTAAAATTGATATATGTTGTTTGCATTAGTGAGATGAAGAAGCCTATTGAATTTCAATAATTTATGTTTATTACGTCTAGAGTTATGGCCCTTGTTTCACTTTGTTGAACCTTGTGAACGGTCTAACGCCAAAAGTTAACATCCGAGCTTTGTGAAATTTATATGCATTATTTAAAATAGTGAAACCACGAAGCCTATTGAATTTCAACAACTTACAATAATTCCTTCTAGAGTTATGGCCCTTGTTTCACTTTGTTCAACCTTGTTAATGCTCGATTGATGAAAGTTCTCATCCAATATGTATGATATTTATATGCATCATTAAAATTTGTGAAACAGAGGTCTGTTGAATTTCAGCAAGTTCCGTCAATTATTTCTAGAGTTATGTCCCTTGGTTTACTTTGTGAACCCTGTGAATGTTACTAATTTAAATTAGTAAACCGAAAAAGCCTGTCAAATTTCAACAGTTTCAGTAAACTACTTCCAAAGTTAAGGCCCTTGTTTCAGTTTGTAAAACCTTGTGAACCCCCAAACAACAAAAATTATAATCTGATCTGTATGGAACTGTCTTGTAAAGGCCCCCAATTACATACAAAGGAATAAATATGCGACAACACTCGTCGACTGCTCGGACGATTTAGCTGCTGTGGGCGTATGTTTCATTGCCTGGCAACCTATCTTTCCTTACTATTGTATTCTTACTAACTTACGATCAATGACATGTTTATGCAGACCAGTTGCTACTTATAGCTTATCAGTTAACTAGACAGACAGACAGACAAGGGTGACAGCAATATCCACTTTAAATGTGGGCATATAATAAAATGTGACAATTGATATCTGATTGTGAGAAGTTTGGGGTGAAGGTCATAAAAAGTAGTTTTTATAAGGCATTTTTGAATAAATTAACAAATTTGATTGTTTATTATGTTGTTATATTTTTAGTGGAATTTAATGGAAGATAAGTGGAAGAGGTTAGAATTGTATTGTATCATAGAAGAACCATTAATAGATGTACTGTGGCATGATGCCATTCCTCAAAAATACATGCTATTAGGATTAATGGAGAAATTTGATCTTTTATGTAAAAGAATTCCACCTTCAGGACAGGTATAGTAATAATATTGGTCTAACATGTGTGTGTTGGTCTATAAATTCCAGGATGGGACGAAAAACCGAGGTCCTGTGTACATATTGGCTTGCACGTAAAAAATCCCTTGGCAGTTGGAATTCGATATAAGAGAAGGCCATAGTGCGGCTGACCCAGCAAAATTTCCTTCATAGCACACACTGTATGACGTATGCCTGTCTTCTTTAGCCCAGTTCGGAGCAGAACAGTAGGACGTTAAACCCCAGAACAGTAGGACGTTAAACCCCATTTCATTTCATTTCCTATAAATTCTAGATTTAAGTGTTAAAGGTCAGTCAACAAGATATTAATATACAATTAGCCAACAAAGAAATAAGACATCTAATGCTAGGTTTCTGTTATCACGATTCATGCTACGATTGAAATCGTAGTGATCCTATCAAGTCTTATCATACATTGAGGTCAGACGTAGCATTCGTGTTGATCGTATCGAAACGTATCCGAACGTATCTGCATGAAACACGTCGTGGACTCAATAGGGATAATCCTATTGTAATGCATCACATGACGATGGGAACCTAGATTTAGTGGGACATGTAAACAACAGAATAATTTCTTGAAATATAAATGAATAAATAATAAAATAACACAAAATAACTTCTCAAATTGTGCCATTTATGAATTACTGTATTTAACAGATTCACATTGATTCATTGATTGGTTAGTTTGTTGTCGAACATTGTTACAGGTCGTAAAGTAGTATTGCACATATTAGTTACTTATATGTAATCACAACAATTGTATATTAAGAATGGGGGGATGGATGGCCGAATGGTTAGCATGTACGCTTTGTATCATAATGTCTGACATTAATTCAACTGGTTTGGTTTTGATTCCTCCGTCGTACCTGACAAGGAGTAGGGTCGTCTGTCCAACTTCGAAGGTTTTCGACCGGGTCCTCTGGTTTCCACCCACTGCTAAAGACCCCTACGCGCAAGAAAATTATTGACATAAAATTGAATCATGTGTTAGTCCCAAAATGACCTATTAAAGCCCATTTCATTGATTTTTTTCCAGTCACATCGTGAAGAGTATGGTAGTTATTATATACCAATGAGATTAAGGAATAATAAAGATGACAGCCACGACAGTTTATATCCACATCAATCATCTAATGTTATAATTTATCTGGATTTTAATTCTTTTTTACCAGGTAAGTTTTTTTAAAAATAACTCTTTCTCTCCAAATTTAGGTTTATTACAAAACAGAATGAAAAAACCTTATATTTTCTAAAAAAAAAACAGGGGGTTGGATGGCTGAATGGTTAGCATGTGCACACTGTATCATGAAGTCTGTCATTGAGTCAACTTGCATGGTTTCGATTCCCCTGTTGTACGTGATAAGGAGTAGGGTCACCTGTCCAATCTAATGGGTTTTCTCCAGGTCCTCCGGGTTTCCTCCCATGATTCCATGGTTTATTACCAATCAGATTGAAAAAACCCTATATTTTCAACAACAATGGTTAGCAGGTGCACACTGTATCATAAAGTCTGCCATTGAGTCAACTTGCGTGGTTTCAATTCCCCTGTTGTACATGATAAGGAGCAGGGTCGCCTGTTTCCTCCCGCTGCTAAAGACCCCTGCGCACAAACAAATTATTGAAATAAGATTGAACCATATGTTAGTCCCGAAATGACTTAGTTTGTGTCGAGTGGATGTTAAACCCTATTCTCTCTCTACATTATATCCGTCTTTATTAGCCAATTCGGAGCAGAACCATAAGATGTTAAACCCCATTACATTTCATTTCATTCCTCTATTATATTTCGATTGAGCACAACAGTGATTTTTTCACAAAACAGTCAAAAATACAAATGTCTGAAAATAAATAATGTTATTGAAGAATGAATAACAAAATTTATTGCCTACAACATGGATTGTAATAGAAAAAAAGAAACACTTTGTCATTTGAAATTTTTTTTTAATTTTCAGAGGGATTATTTTATCGCATTTTAACCCGTGCCACCAGATGGAGCCAAGACAATGGAGGTCGTGATCCATATTTATTTCGTAGATCTGCTAGATTTTATATTGATTCCGAACATGATTTTATTTTAGAGATGCCATTAAAACAACATTATATTAAGGTAAGATGCCATTAAAACATTATTAAAACAACATTATATTAAGGTAAGATGCCATTAAAACAACATAATATTAAGGTAAGATGTCATTAAAACATTATTAAAACAACATTATATTAAGGTAAGATGCCATTAAAACAACATTATATCAAAGTAAGATGACATTAAAGCAACATTATATTGATGTAAGATGCCATTAAAATAACATTATATTAAGGTAAGATGCCATTAAAATAACATTAAAACAACATTATATCAAGGTAATATCAACATTGGTCATACTGTTTATGTATATGAAGTCCAGTATATGTCATCCATGTTTAAAAAAACAATTGTATATCTAAAGAATGAAATCGTTTAATTTGAGGTATTGTGAATCCATTGCAAGGAGAGCTATGTATGAACCAATGTAATAGTCAGACATCTATAGTGGTTTATTAGATTCAGCTGTTTAATAAGAATCATAACATTTATGACCTACTCTTTATGAACTCAGTAGAAATTAAAGTAAAGCCTGTTTTTATGGGATAGAGAAACCATGTGGTATATCAAAAAAAAAATGTTTTTTCAATTATCTATATATATTTAACTTTTTTTCAGGTAGTGATTGTTCGAGAGGTTGATCTTTCAAATGACCTTATGACCTCTCCACCACCATTACCTTCTGCTTGTGCCAAGGTTAGCTACTCAGTCCGCACTAAATGTATATAAATATAACTTATTACACAGCTACTCAGTCCACACTAAATGTATATAATTATAACTTATTACACAGCTACTCAGTCTACACTAAATGTATATAATTATAACTTATTACACATCTACTCAGTCTACACTAAATGTATATAATTATAACTTTACTTATTCTACAATGCCCACCTTATAACACAGCTACTTAGTCTACACTAAATGTATATAATTATAACTTATTGCACAGCTACTCAGTCCACACTAAATGTATATAATTATAACTTATTACACAGCTACTCAGTTTACACTAAATGTATATAATTATATCTTATTACACAGCTACTCAGTTTACACTAAATGTATATAATTATAACTTATTACACAGCTACTATATAGTCTACAGTACATGTATATCATTATAACTTACTACTGCTACTCATTCTACAATGCATGTATATAATTATAACTCATTATAATTGATTACTGCTACCCAGTCTACAATACATATAATTATATAATTATAACTTATTAGTTATTACACAGCTACTCAGTTTACAGTACGTGTATATAATTGTAACTTATTATACTTCTACTCAGTCTACAATACATGTATACAATTCTATCACCCAATAACACATTCTACAGTAGATATTGCTTGTGTGATAACTTTCATAATCTACTGAGCAATATGCTCTTCAGTGCATTACTTATATACTGATTCCAGTGCCAATTCATCAATTTAGTTTTGAGAAATGTGTGTTATTTATTGGCTGTCATGTTTACAGACTGCATAAATTGAAACAATTTGTGAATAAATCTGAGGACTGTACGTCTATGTTGTATCTAGGACAACAACATTGCCAGTGACGACAACTGCCGACCAATTTATTTTTTATTTTTTTAGTATAGTTTATAACTGTTGATTTTATTCACCCTGTAAAATATGTTGATGGTAGGTAGCCCATCTTTGTTTAAACTTAAATTTACCTGTAGTGAAATTATTCATTGCTTATTTTTAAGATTGTTTACATTAGAACAAGTTGTTATTTAATGTATCTGTCTAACTCGGACGTTTTATTTTTTTCAGGTTAGGAATTTTCTTGAATCAACATTATGTGATTTACGTGCACTATGGATGAAGAGAATAGCGTATAAAACGTGTGTAGCTTGTCCATGTGATAAAAAATGTTTATTACACAAACAGTCTAAATGTTCTGATCAAGGATGTTTACATTTCTTAGATATGGATGAATGTTTGAGTAATAAGGTAGGTGGTGTTTTATGTGACCTGTGCTAGCAAAATGAGTCACAAGTCTTTTGCTATAGGGGGCTTTAAATGGCTGAATGGTTAGCGCATGCACATTGTTTCATAAGGGCTGTCATTGAGTCAACTAGCATGGTTTCCTTCCACTGCTAAAGACCTCTATGCGCAAGCGAATTAATGAAATAAAATTGAACCATATGTTAGTCTCAAAATTACCTAGTTTGTGTTGAGTGGATGTTAAACCCTCTCTCTCTCTCTCGCTCTCTCTCTCTATCTCTTTTAAACAAAAATGTTAAAATATGTTGAAAATATCTTTTTAATGATGTAAAACGAAAGGTAAATTTGACTTATTTTGATATTTCTGTTTTACATTTTGTTATTGTAAATTATGAATTGCGATTTCCTGCTCATTTTTGCTATCACATATTGTCAATTATAGTTAAATTGTAAATCTCAAAAATGTTACTGATTAGTATTGTATGAATTCTAAATTTGTTATACATCATAAACAAGATCTCAAGCTGAATTTGTTGGAATCCTGGAAGAAGGGGAGGCACCCAATTTACTCTTGATCACAGGTTGATCACTAGTTCAGTTATTAATTTGAATAGATTGGAAATTAAAACGTGTCTAAAAAATTGTGAATAGAACAGACGATAAAGGGTTATTCTTTTGGACCAACTCTTCAAAAGACGTGATGGTTTCATGTTTTGTAAGAGTCCATTGTTTTGGTGATCTAGAACTTGCCATTATTATACAGTCGTGTGACTTGACTAACAAAAGTGTTTGACAGTTATAGGGTTAACTGAGTCGTTGAAAGGTTATTACCTGGTATTGACGTGGCTATTTCGGTTTGAAATTCAGGCCAGCGACCAAGTGAGTTGATAGGAAATAACCACAACGAGAGGACACTTGATTAGTAGATTTTGTTTAATGGCAAAGTGCACAATGGCAAGAAGATAACCCTCGATATTCCTCAAGGGAGATAAGTCCATATTGATATGGCAACTGGCAGTTATTGTTATTGTGTAGAAATTAAACCTATTGTTTTTATTGTTATTGTGTAGAAATTACGCCTATTGTTATTGTGTAGAAATTACACCTATTGTTTTTATTTGTTACAGATTGTCTGTTGCGATCATAGAAGAGTTAAAACGGACCTGTTTCAAAAATGGTTTCCTTCCTCCACTAACTCAGAATTTAAGGATCCAATTTTATCTGTGAAATGTTTGGATAATATTGGAACAAATATTGAACGTAATGCCCCAGATTTACCCAAATGGTTGAAAGGAGCTGCTAAACTATTAAATGGTGGTTGTGAAAATCAAGATTGGATGGCATTAGCTAAACAAATGGGTAAACTCCTTAGTTTTTATCATATTTCTTTCTGGTCGTTGTCAACCCATTGGCAGTTGGGCAGGATACAGCCTACACAGGGGCGGATCCAGAGGGGGGGGAGGTGTCCAAACCCCACCCTGCTCAGCTACATAAAAAAATTGTAAAACAATACTTTTATGAGAAAAGTGTCACGGTTGTGTGCTTTATCCTTTATCATCAGATGGTGTGGTGGGATGGGATGGGATGGGCATTCAAAGCGCGAGATCAATGAAATTAAATCGCAATGTGATCCTATGAATTCATAATAAAAATTGATGTCAAACGGGGTGTTGGATTTCTCTCTTTATAACGCTCATTGTGTATGTATGCCTTTGTAATTTGGAGACGATGATGGCATCATGAATTGTCAACTCTCAAATTTCCTTAACAGGAACCTGGCAAGAGAGAGAGAGAGAGAAATGTGGTTTAACGTCCACTCGACACAAACAAGGTCATTTCGGGACTAACATGGTTTAATTTTATTTCAATAATTCGCTTGCGCGTAGGGGTCTTTAGCAGTGGGAGGAAACCGGAGGACCCGGAGAAAACCCACGAGGTTGGAGGAACCTGGCAAACCCCCTCCTGCAAAAATTCCTGGTTCCTCCCCTGCTACATCTGAGCCACAGAAAGGGGGGGGTGAAGGAGGGAATCAGGGTGGAAATCTGAAAAAACTTTCTTAACCAACACCAGGATTGAATCCAGGACCACCGGGTAACTAAGCCACTTCCACTGACAAAGTTATAAAATAACAGTTGTTTCAAAACATCGTAAAGCACACTCTGAGAAATACTGAGCCTACACTCAAATATATCTTTTCACAATTGTTTAATTTATTAAATATTACATTGCAGGATACAAAACAAATAAAATAGAAAAATTTAACGATGACCTGAATCCAGCATTAGCTCTACTCACTGATTGGATAATAACAAGTGGTAATACAGGATTATCTGTGGATATGTTAATTCTATATTTAGAACAATTACAGAGATATGACATCATGGCGGTTATTAATAACGCTAAAGGTAATTGTTTTTTTAAAACAATATTTTATTCGATTTGTAGCTGAATAGGGATTGGGTAACAGGCATAACCTATATTAGACCCCTCTCTCTCTAGGTGTTTTGGATTAGATTTATTAAACATGTACACTCAAAGCGCATCTATCTTGCCATCAAGAATCAAAGTCTGTTTAATATTGATTGTACTCGGATTGGATGAGATTTAGCTATTGTTTGAAGAAAGAGAGAAATGGGGTTTAACGTCCACTTGACACAAACTAGGTCATATCGGGTTTAACATATGGTTAAATTTTATTTCAAGAATTTGCTTGCACGTAGGGGTCATTAGCAATGGGAGGAAATCGGAGAGCCGGGAGGAAACTCATGACGTTGGACAGGAGACCCTACTCCTTTTCACGTACAACCGGAGAATCGAAACAAAGCCAGTTGACTCAATGACAGACCTTATGATACAACATGCATGCGCTAACCATTCAGCCAAACACCCCCCCCCCCCATATCCTTTTAAAAAGGCATTAGAGCTTTGAGGGTTGATACTTTAAGTTTTGATTATACTGTTACATTTAAATGTGCCAGAATCATCACAAGAACAGCAAAACGTCAACATATAACATCTGTCCTTAAATCGCTTCACTGGTTACCAATAGAGGCTCGTATAAACTTTAAAATCTTAACACTGGTCTACAAGTCTCAGCATGATTCAGCTCCATCCTATATCACAGATCTTATGCAGCCTTATGTACCAAACCGACCGCTCCGTTCACAGAATAATCTATCACTTGTTGTACCTTCAACTAAATTAAAATCTTTTGGTGGTAAAGCCTTCAGTGTATATGGTCCACGACTATGGAATGACTTACCTGACAAAATAAAGTGTTCAGAAACAGTTGCTCAATTTCGATCTAGATTTAAGACGCATATGTTCACGATGTATTATCCACAGAAGCCATTAACTTACAGCGCTTAGAGCATGCTCATGGATGGATTAAGCGCTATATAAATGTACATTATTATTATTATTATTATTATTATTATTATTATTATTATTATTATTATTAAATGAGATCCTATTCAATATTTGAGACAAATCTGTTTAGCTATTTTTTAGATTTACGAGTTATACTAAATTTTTAATAGTTTCTGAGGAATTTAACGAATACCTGTTCCAAATGACTTGTATTCTGGATGGACCCTCTTACTATCTGAAAACCATGTAAAATGAACTGTGTCCATAACTCACAACTTAATTGGGAGCAATTCTTCTGATTTAGAAAATAAAATTAAATGGGTTTAACCTTTTTTTTGCACCAGCTGCTCTAATAAATACGATAGTCCTGTTGGTCCCATAAAAGTGCAGGGAGTTCAGTCACACACTTGTACCTTTAAGGATTAAGGTCACGGCCTAGCCTTGTAGATTCCTCTGGGAGCACTCATTTTCTCCCTCTGAAATATCATAAATACATCATTTTTAATCCCAGAATTAGTTAGTTTATGCATGGACCGTGTATAGATGGACAGGCAACGCCCACAAAGCCTTTAGAATTCTGTGCCACGGCAAAAAATAGACCTGACAATCGTGACTAAAATAAAATTACCTCCCCTCGTGCAATTACCAGTATTAAGTTTAAAAGCAAAGAAACAGAAATCAATTTATAATATTTTTATTAATCTTGCCACTCTTTTTATTTGCGACCCACACATAGATAGGCTACTAACTGTTGATTGGGGTGTAAATGTATCAACACATCGTCTTTATTTACTTCGGACGTGCCCATGTGAATCTGAAAAAAACATGTCAAGTTTTTGTTAAAAACAAACCTACTTAAACACTCTTTTTTACTTCTGCACAATTAATCATCATTCCGGACAGTATTATACCTGAACTTTATTTTCATAACTTTTAAATCCTTCATACATACGGAAATTTGGAGTATTAAGCAAAACATAAAATGCTTACAAAAACTACTAATATATTGAAATTGATTATTTCACAATTTTCAACGGCTGCATTTGGAAATTTCAAAGTTCTAAACTGGAGAAATTCGTCACTACTGGATAGGACTACTTTTAGGGTTGAAAAATTACTCTGTAAGCTAACTATAAAAATAACGTAAATTCTAAGGAAGAGTTCGAGAAATTAATCTGTATAAAATCCTGCAATGTCAAAAATCACATCGCTTCATTTGCTGTTGACATTGAGATCTCGCCGTGTCTCACGCAAGCGGCAAAGTATCCAACCAACAGGACTTGTATTATCTTGAATTTGTGTTTCAATTTAATTTAGATGCTGAAAAGGACAGTCCAGAAATATTTTTAAGTTATCAGTGGGATCATCAGGATGAAGTTCGTAAATTACGTGATCGATTAGAAAGGTCAGGGTTCAAATGTTGGATGGATATTGGACAAATGGGAGGTGGAGATTTACTTAATGCCAAAATAGATGAGGGAATTCGAAATTCGAAGGTATGAATGTTCTTATATTTTTAACACTTAAAAGCCATAGAAATTCAGGTAAGAGAAATGAAATGGGGTTTTACGTGCTACTTTTCTTCATGCCATACAGTGTGCTTTGAGGGAAGTTTTGCCTGGACAGCGGCGCTACAGCCTACTCTTATATCGAATTCCAAATGTCGAGGGATATTTTACGTGTAGGCCTACTGGGGGCCTTGGTTTGTTGTCCCATCTGACGAACTATACGTTGTCCCTTGCTAAGTCCTCTGTCCTGCACCACTGACAACGCTGGGAAATACCTATGAACTTTCTTGGCCAATGCAGGGATCAAACAGGAACCTCAAGTTAGCGAGCCAACGTCTTACATCATCACATCTGTGTAATCGAAATGAAATGAAATGAAATGAAATGGACCTCGGTTTTTCGTACCATCCGAAAGACTAGACAGCTGTCCTTGTCAGGCCCTCCGTCCTGTATCACTGACAAGGGGGAATCATGCAGGAAAATCGGGATGAATCTTCTAGGCCAATGCAGAGATCGAACAGACGACCTCCAGGCTAGCGAGCCAGCATCTTACCCACTTAGCCATCGTGACCCCATCTGTGTAATCATCAACATAATTTATACACCCCAAAATTTACATATCTATTCATGCTGGTTTGATCCTTTTTCGGTACCAGTATTATATTGTATTTTTACAGGTGGTTGTAGCATGTATAACACCGAAATATATCGTATCACATCTGTGTAACCGTGAACTAGGATTAGCTGATGTTCTACAGAAACCTATTATTCCGATTCTCTTTGATTCTGTGATATGGCCGCCACCTGGAGGTCTGTCTGTCATCCTTTCACAGCTTGTGTATATAAACTTTAAAGGTAAGTTTCTATGGTTGTCTGAGTCTGTTTAGTGAGAGAGATGTATAATGATTAATTTTTGAACAGTCGTCAGGAAATTGAACGCTTGTAAATTGGACACTCATTATCAAAATTAATCAGTCAGCTTTAAACTGGACACAAGTACAAATTAGATGATTTTGGGTGATTTTAAATGATTTTACGAATTTTTAAATAAAGCTTTGATATTAAATGAATGTGAAAGAAATTAGTGTTAGATACACAAGATTAAATGATAGCCAGGATTGGAGAGAGAGAGAGAGAGAAATGGGGTTTAACGTCTACTCGACACAAACTAGGTCATTTCGGGACTAACATATGGTTTAATTTTATTTCCATAATTCGCTTGCGCGTAGGGTTCTTTAGCAGTGGGCGGAAATCGGAGGGCCCGGAGAAAACCCACAAGGTTGGACAGGCGACCCCACTCCTTGTCACGTACAACCGGGGGATCGACACCACGCCAGTTGACTCAATGACAAACTTTATGGTACAGTGCGCATGTGCTAACCATTCAGCCATCCAACCTCCACTGTCAATTTAGAACGTTCTGGAACTACCAAGGAAAACAGCCTCTTGTAGTTGTTGGTAAAAGTAATGTTATTGTTATTGTTCAGATGGGACGAAAAACATTGGCACCCTCGTAAAAGAACCCTTGACAGATGGAATTCAAAATAAGTGAAGGCTCAGTGCTACTGTCTGGGCAAAATTTCCCTCTTAGCACACTGTATGGCAATGTCCATCTTCATTAGCCCAGCAGGGGCGGATCCAGGAATTTTTGCAGGAGGGGGTTTGCCAGGTTCCTGAGACAATGTATCCCCCCCCTCCCGCATGGTCTTTATCGTCATTTTGGCGTATATACATACACATTGAGCTTTTTAAACAGAGAAATTGTGATTCAATTTCATGGATGCAAAGCATTAATTGTGATATCACATAATGTCTATATCATTATCTCTGCTTTGAGTGCCCATCCTGTCCCACATCTGACGATAAAGGATAAAGCACACGGCCGAGAAACTTTTCTCATAAAAAGTGCTGATTTACAAAAAAAATTATGTAGCTGAGCAGGGGGGGTTTCGACCCCCCAAACCCCTCCTCTGGATCCGCCCCTGCCCAGTCGGTGCAGAACAGTGGGATGTTAAACCCCATTTCATTTCATTAATTGTCTTTGTCCGGTGTAACTGTTTATATGCTGTGGGGTCCTACTGCACTCATTTTGTTTCGTTTCAGGTGTTGGTGGTCATGGGGGTACTGGTATCCATGCCGACATGGAGGATAAATATAAGGAAATAATACAGCATGTAACAATACACTCAGTCCCTGTTGCCAAGACTCCGTATTCTGAATCAATCGTTAGTGATACAGAAGTAGTGGAAAAACAAGAACGAGGGGTATCTCCTGAACATACTTCAAGTATCAGTTCTTTTACGGATCACGATATCTTACATAGTGCGTTTTCTGAACTCGAACTACCCCATCAACGCCAGTTATTGTCATCTACAGAAACTGTGGCTCGTACGAGTAACAATCCGCAAGTTCAAGGAGTCCATGTGACTAAATGTGCTGTGTGTGTGATTTTATGATTTATACGTTTCTAATATAGCTAATGTGGTTTTCGTGTAAATTCCAGAACTAATTTATTAAGAGAATTCAACCAAAACTGAGACCTGTTGAACTGGGTTAGTAACTGGCACATGTGATCCTCTGTTTGCTAGAAAATTTTTGAAAGGGACCAGCGTTATTTTGGAACCAGTAACTATTTCAGTACACTCAGCAATCTTCTTTTTGTTCTTATTATGGCCCAATCAAAACAAGCCATTTCAAGTGTGATTGACACGAAACATGGCAAGCTTGTTCTTTGGACAAATGTGCTTCTCTGTTTGCTAGACAATTTTTGAAAAGGACCCGCGTTATCTTTGAACCTGCAACTATTTTAATACACTTGGCATTCTTGTTCTTGTTTTTCTTATGGCCTACGTTCATCAGAAAAATTCCTAACGTCCTGCCATTACGAGTGTGATTGACACGAATCATGGCATACTTGTTCTTTGGAAAAATGTGGTTCGATTGACAGATATGGAATATGTAAAATGAGGTTGTTTATTTGTTATCTGAATATCAAAATATATTAATGTGATGATTATCATATATTGTCCGTACATGTAGGTCACAATCAGTGTCAGGTGAAAACAGGCCCTTGACTGTTCCATTTATGAGACCCGTCCCAATCATCCACCCTCACAACTTGAGGAAGATAGAAGTGTGTTTTAAACACAATCGAGAAATGCCAAGGATGTTTAAGACAGTACTTACACGACTGTGTCAGAAATATTATAGGCCTACTCCTTAAACAAAACTCCACGAGATCTTGAGGCCCAGGCCTTCAGTTTATACCAAGACCATAGTTAAATCCAAAAACTGCATGTATGAATGAAATGAAATGAAATGGGTTTTAATGTCCTACTGTTCTGCTCCAAACTGGGCTAATGAAGACAGGTATACGCCATACAGTGTGCTAAGAGGGAAATTTTGCCCGGACAGCGGCACTGCGGCCTACTCTTATATCGAATTCCAACTGTCAAAGGAACTTTTACGTGCACTTCAATGTGTACATGGGACCTCGGTTTTTCGTCCCATCCGAACGACTGGACAGCTGTCACTGACAAGGGGGAACTGCATGTATGACGCTATTGTAAGTTTTCAAAAGTCAACTTGCGATGATCATTCTTGTGTAGCCAGAATTAGAGTTTTTAATACACACTTTGTCAAGCTGTTCTACATTCTGTATTTGATCCTTACTATCACTGAACCCACAGGTATAGTTTTAACACAAGTCAGGTATCTTTTAACACAATTCAGGTATCTTTTAACACAAATTGTGAATTTCCATTGTCAATGAGCAGGAAGATGAAAGAGAAATATTACACAACTTGGACGGAGGCCCTCAGACCTTGGCTTCGGTCTGCATTTATGACACTATAATATCGTAATTTTTAAAAGTCAACCTTTGTTGATTATTCTTGTATACACCTTTTATCATGTTTTACTGTTTCATGGATTCATCATTGTTGTACTACTTTCGTTATGTATTTGATCTTTACTGTGTATGTATCACTGAACACTCAGGAACTGTTCCACACAGATCAGGTATCACTGAACACACGGGAACTGTTCCACACAGATCAGGTATCACTGAACACACAGGAACAGTTCCACCCAAATAAGGTATCACTGAACACCCAGAAACTGTTCCACACAGATCAAGTATCACTGAACACACAGGAACGATTAGACATAAATTAGGTATCTTTTAACACAAAGTGTGAATTTCCATTCTCAGTGGTGCAGGATAGAGGGCCTGACAAGGAACAACGTCTGTGTAGGCTACACGTAAACGTAAACATAAAAGATCCCATGGCAGTTTCAATTTGAGGAAGCGTAAGTGGAAACACTGCTCTCATGACAGACTGTTCGTCTTCAATAGCCCGGTTGGTGCAGAAAAATAAAATAAAATGAAATAAAATGGGATTTAACGTCCTACTGTTCTGCTCTGACTGGGCTAATGAAGACGGGTAGAAAAATAAAACATTAGATTAAACCTCATTTCATTTCCTTCATCATACTCATCAACACCATCATCATCATCATCATCATACGACACATAGTAACAGTTATTGATATTGATGCCATTTGCATTCCATATGATGATATGGCATAGAGTAACAGTTATTGGTGCCATTTGCATTTCATAATGTTGATTACATGTAGTCTATTTTACCAGTAATTGGTATAGGTAATTATAAGTTATAAATATGGTAGACATTTTCATACAAAAATTTTAATTAAATATGACAATTTGGCATTAAGAACGACATAATTATCAAATATCAATATGAATTAGTGTAATATGAGTTGAAATAATGGTGGATTTGGGTAGATTTGGGTAGAATCGTGTGATTCATCTATTTATATAATTAAGATGTCAGACTTTCTTTTAGACTATATTTAACTATTTAAGTCCCAAACAATCTGATTAAAACACCAATTCTATTTCGTTTAGATTTTTGTAGTTCAAAATTTTGTTTTGCTTGTTTTTACTACACTAGGTAGTGGAGGTCATT